AAGATAAAATGAGTGTTCTCCACATAGTAAATTACAATGTATGCATGTATTGTGAGTCTTGCGATCTTTATTTCCGATCAGTTTACAGGCGTGTAAATGGTTGAAAACATTTATTGTGATTAAAGTTATTCCAAGCTCATCTCGTTCTCGGTACCAATAATTGTGGTGCGTAGTAATCTTCACCAAACAAGACTCTGGCAGCTATAGCACCATCACCAAGCAATCACCCTCTCGTACAGTAAATCATTGCTGACTATTGTAAATTGGTGCTTCAATAAACTGTCAGCAGTTGAATTAATTAATTTAACTGCGTGATTAAGTTATTCCCTTTTCTCCCCTAAGCGAAGCAGATTTATTCTTATCTCTATTTATCAACCCCTAACATTGAACGTAAGACTGTATAAAGTGTCCGATTTATATGGCGCATCTGAACTCGTCTGTCAGAAAATTGGCGCATTGTATGCAAAAGGTTGGCCACCCCTGTTTTATTAGATTTCTATGTATTTAAAATTACTGATACACGAACAGAATCAGTTAGGGGACAGACCAGGGGAGATATGTTTTTCATGTTTGAAGTACTATTGAGACTAAATTAAGTATATTTAAGTAATTAATTTAAGTGACCATAAAGAAGATGGTGAGTTTTGAGAGATAATAACATTATTTCAAACAAATTTTTGAAAAAAATGTGATTTTTTTTTCTCAAGTACCTCTTAACTTTGAATAATTTACATATTAGGGTCATTCTATCTTGTTATAGTGTGATAAATTATTTTTAAAATGATACATTAAGACTAATATAAATATATTTAAGACCATCTACACGGAGTTATGTCTATCTATTATCTAAGGTGCTCTACAAAAGTATAGAACAGATGCATATATACTATACGAAGGTTAGGAATTACAGTTATGATATAGCTTATTTTCTTATATTGTTCGGGATTTATAAAAACATAATTTGTCAAAACTCCGTTTCCTATATCGCAGCGAACAGCAGAAATTGTAAAAAAAAATCATTTTAATCACCACAAAAGTATAGAGTCGAATAGTAAATGAATGCAAAAAGCATTAAATACGACAAAATAGTTTAATTTAGTAATTTATTTGTGCATCTCCTTTACTAATATCGAAAATGTGATTCGGTATGCTATCAGCAATTTTATTTATGATCGGTGTATCAAGGGAGTTCCAAGCAGTGGCAATGACAATTGCTTGTTTTAAGCGTTCAACGTAGGCGTACTGACGATTTTGGCCATAAATTCGCGTGAGCTGGCCACATACATATACGTGAGCTGGTCTGAAGTTCCATTCTAAATATTGGTGAATTTTTGAAATCGGATGAGTAGTTTCGGAGATTACCTCCTACATCCAAACTTACAAACTCTACCTCTTTATATTATTAGTATAGATTTAATTTCTTCGAATACATAAAAATGCGTGGCTTGTAATAAAGAATAAACAAACATCGTCTTATTTCATCAGTGCCGCGGCAGAGAATGAAATACAAGCATAAAAAACACACCGTGATAAAAATTTATATTTAAAACTTGAAATTAATAGAATATGTAAAAGTTTACGTCACACCTTCACCTTTGTGACGGCACACCGGTTGCGAAACACTGGATTAGACGATGCATTAACAGTTCGTCTGCTTGAAGATCGTCCACTTCTATGCTTTGGTCCATAATTTGCAGTATTTCACAAATAATGTTGAACTACCTTTTTCGAACGCTTGATGCTGTTTGCTACTGCCTGATGACTTAATCAGTGCTTCTTAAAGCTACAATTTATACTTTCTCAAAGTCTGTTAAATGGATACCACGAGGCACGATAAAAAAAAATACTTTCACACTTCAAACTTGCGAAAAAGATGGCGAATCTGTACTTATGTGGCAGTACGTAAATTGACTTCATCGCTAATCCTCAGTCAGCCGAATTAGAAGCTTAATTAAGCACCTAACTTATAAAAATTACGTTTTTATAAGTTAGGTGCTGAATTACGCGTAAAAAATTTATTTTTATCTACTAGTGCATGTTCTGACATCAAAAGACCAATTTTTTGAGCGGTTCTATACTTTTGTGGAGCACCAAAAAAGTCAAAAAGTGGGGAAAAATTCCGGCATGTGTGTGTTAGCGTTTATTTCGCTTAATATCTCAGGATGGGGTAAAGATTTAAAAACGGAATTTGGCATGAAAGTTTGTGCGTAAGAAACATTGATGCTCTTAAAATTTGGTAGTCAAAGGTAGAATTATTAATTTAAATAATAAAGCATTTTAGATTATGAATTATTAAAACAACTTTAAAATAAAAGGATGTTATAAGATCATAACATCCTTTTGTTATGAAAAAAATATCATAATGCGAATTTCTTCTATTTTTAGATTCATTCTGCATTACGTTTTTGCACTAAATTCTATGAATCGTTTAGTCTGAGACCCGTTACAGATAAGAAAAATTTTCTTTGTGTGAATATCATTAATGGCTCAAATAACTTTAATGAATAAATGATTCGAATATTCATTTGTGTTTAGATTGTATGATATTAAAAATCGTTTGTAATAGAAATAAAAGTCAATATATGTTTCGAATTCAATAAATTTAGTGTATAAATAACATACGTAAATGGTAACTAAGCATAGTAAAGTTGCCCAGGACTCTTTATTATAGTTGAGCACGTGCTAACGTTCTTCCGGCATTCCCGAGTAGTAACCAATCGGATGAAAGAGTTTTCGAAGCGCCATCTATATTTTACGATAAAACCACGTGGGTGCAGACGGAGTTGGAAAGTCTGATCACCGTATGAACCAGGGAAGAGAGAGTCGTTTTATTTTAATTAAACAACTGGTCAAGTTTGGTTATATCAACCGGAAAATAGATAAATCTGTAATGACAGATAATGTAAGTAGGTTATATTTACTTTTTTTTTTTTGTTATTATTTAAAATATTTCATATTTTTTAACGTAAACTTGGCCACGTGTATCTTTTTCTAAGCCTAAGATATTAATTTATAACGTCATTTGTTTTATTTTTCTTTGTAATTTTGAAATTTTAAAAGTAAGTTTATTATTATATTGTTGAGACAGATTTTTTTATTGTTTGTAACGGATTCGTAAAAGGTAATGGGTCATTCTAAGTTAAGAGGTACTCACTGGTTAAGAGATGTGGCCACGACATAAATGTTAGAAATTTAATCTAAATATGTAACATTTTTATTGAAACAACTAATTTGTGCATATCTGCAAGGTGGCCAGTCAATTTATTTATTTTATCTTGTTTTATGAATGACCAGGGGAGATCTCTAGTCTCCCCCCTCAATACAGGGGAGAGACTAGGTCTAGGTGTACAGGGTAGGATACTTTATGAACAGGGGAGAGAGAGACTTTAACATTGCTTTATGAAAGAAAATAGACTTTTTTTTAAGAATCAACTTTATTCATTCATTTTATAATTATTAAATTATCAGACTGTTTATTTTCAAGCAGCCTGTTAATATCTTCATTCTGAGGAGGTGGTAGTAGCAGTGGGTCTTCATTATCCGAATTAGGAAGGGTTGTGGATTCATTACTTATGACTTGAAGTGCTAAACGACATCTACGATTCTTTGCTTTTTCTCTCCTCAATTTTCTAGCTTTTCTCTGTTCTTGGGGATCATTTGGTTCACAGTCTTAACAATTCCTTTTTCTTTTGATACTTTTCACGTTCTTTAAGTTTTTGTAGTGCGTATTTGTCAGGGTCATTTTTTATGCATTGGTACCTTAATCTTTCTGCTACACGATTTTTTTCTAGGCGTTCTTCACGTGGCATTTTTTTCTTGCTAACATATTCTGTAAAAGACACATTATACCATAATTAAATGTATGAGATAGGCTAAAAGAGTAAAAATGTATATTGACTAAATTACGGAACGACAGTTCACGTATTATCCATAAAAATACTCTGATCTGACGTTTTTATATCTCCCCTGGAATCTTAAAAGGCAGGGGAGATAATTTTTCATTAGAAAACCAAAATAATCGTAAGAGTATTTATCGTACATAATTAACAAATAAATATGAGAATCTATGCACAAATAACAGTAAATATACAAATAAAATGAAGTTCTTAGACAAATAATCACAAAATAAAACTTACCAGGGGAGAGATCACTTCACTCGTTCACAACTGTACCCACAGAGTAACATTTCCGAAATCACTGACAAAATGGCTGTGTGGTTAGCTCGCTTGATGCTTGCTGCTAACTTCACGTCCAATAAAATGTGTTCAAGGTCACAATTTTCCGCGACAAAATAAACAAACATCGTTTTTTGACGAATACAAAACGCCAGGGGACGAGACGCGAAGTATGCGGGACAAATTAGATGTAAATATTTTTTTTATGAAAAAGAAATATTACGTAATTTTACTTGTTAGATTACAATAATTTACTTATCCTATTTTTTAAAATGAACGATTTTGATATTTTATTAGATTTCTATGTATTTAAAATTACTGATACACGAACAGAATCAGTTAGGGGACAGACCAGGGGAGATATGTTTTTCATGTTTGAAGTACTATTGAGACTAAATTAAGTATATTTAAGTAATGAATTTAAGTGACCATAAAGAAGATGGTGAGTTTTGAGAGATAATAACATTATTTCAAACAAATTTTTGAAAAAAATGTGATTTTTTTTCTCAAGTACCTCTTAACTTTGAATAATTTACATATTAGGGTCATTCTATCTTGTTATAGTGTGATAAATTATTTTTAAAATGATACATTAAGACTAATATAAATATNTGTTCCACGAATAAATGCAGTTGTAAAAGCAAGGGACTCTTGTGCAATTCAAAATGCCATAACAGTTTAAGTTGTTGCAATAAATAAGATTGTATAATGTTAATCACATAATTTGTGTGTAAGTTTATTATTGTATTATTTTCTTTAATGATATAGAATGTACTGTTCATTTTAGGTTCAACAGTTTATTTACATGTACTATTACTTAAGCTTTCTCCTATTTTGACATATTAAAAAGTTGAATTTTTGTCTTAACATAATAAAAATATTTTTATTCAACATTCATCATCAGTGCATTCTGAATGTCGACATTTGCCGGTGCAAGTGAGAAATAACGATATTTAGCAAATATTTCGGACATACACGAAACGACTGTGTGAATGTTGACATTCGCCAGATTTCGGTCATTCACAGTAACAAATACACAGTGTACAGTAATTTACCTGATAAGACAGACCTCAGAAAAATACTTTGAGGCATAAAGCTGTCTATGATGAAAATTAATTATCTAAGGTTATTTTTGCCCTGCCAGGGTGTGGCTGAGTTATCCGGAGTGCCGAGTTTGAGGCTCTACTGTACTACTAAATCAGAAACAAAAAGCAAAATTGCTTGCTTTAAGAAACTGACAATATTATGAAGCATTTTCAGGTTATCTTCAGCACAATTTTAACTACTTGCATCCGAAAAGACCACTGTAAATGCATTCAGTTCATTTTCTACTTCCAAATAATAATAAAATCATTGCATACTTCTGGTAAAATTTCATTAATCTTCCATATTTCCTTAACACACTCTTTTACCCTTCTAATTATCAACTCTGCTAGCATGCCAATTATCAGACATCTTATTGGTACTTCTCTTCTCTGCTAACAGAACCTACCATCAAAGTAGAAATAGGATCTATGTACAGTACAGTCATATGGAGCCTATATATCAGATCCAGAGACACATTCTTCTAGCATCTTTCTTCATTGTCACTAGTTTTCTTTTAGAAGATATTGCTGGTTTGTAAGGATAAAAGAAAAACTAAATAAAATTGGCTTAAAAAAACTGCAATGCTCATGTTCACTATACATACTAATAAAAAAAGTTTACAGTTTTTGTATGCTAAAATAATTTTAAAAACTGAAACTGGCAAAGGCTTTTGTTTAACTTTCCTAGGCCCTGTTCAGCAATGCCATATATCAGTATACCCGTGTCTCTACTCTCGTCCCTTCGTGGAATTCTAAGATTTTTATTTTTTCTGAATATATCATTTCATAAACAGGGTACAGCCTATACATGTATAAATACAGTAGTTAGAAATGAGTTCAGCATTGCAGCATAACTAGACTTAGGAAGAATTCTGTAATACTGAACATGGCTCAGAAGTCAAATATTTATAGTTCATTTTTGAACTACAAATTTGGTATTTTATTTGATTTATAAAATTTTTTTGAAATATATTAAATCTATTTGATCATATCATTTAAAATTTACCATAATTATTATTATTTCTAGGATGTCGTCTTGGGTTATAAATATGGCAGAACTGCCATGCTTAAGTCTGGAGGAAACAGATTTTTTCAATGAAGATGTAAGAAAAATGACACAAAATAAGTTTACCCATTAATAAATAATTGAAATATAAATAAAACATAAATAAACTCCCATTTATTTAGAGTGTAGAAAAAATGTAACAATTATTTAATATTTAATTCAGAATTACTTATGGTTGTTTTCCTTTTTTCTAGCTTGATCCTGATACTGAATTCAAAAGTTTAACTAAATTCAATTTAGATGATTTTGTTGATTCAAGTTTGGTATGATTTTTTTAATACTAATTTTTAAAATAGTTTTAGAAATATATTTAACATAATAGAGCTTATTTATAGAAAAATAAAAATTATTTTAATAAATTTATGAATAAAACAAATTTATAGTAGTTTCTCTTGATTTAATGTTTAAAAACTATTAAAATAGGTAGATGCATCTAAAATTGTATATAAATTAAATGACTTTAATCAACTAATATATGTATAGGAAAGCATGTTGTACCTATCTATTTGAATACTCAATAAATGATGTATTAATTTTAAGAATCACCTTAATTTTTTGAATATTGTATCAAAGAAAATTTTTTAGAAAATAATACTGTTTACTTTTTATATATAAATATCTAGAAATCTAATAAATTTGTAAAGCCAATTACATTATTTAATTAATTATTAAATAATTTGTCAGAGGGAAACGTTAGGCATCATCTTTTTATTAAATTTAATAATAAGTTAATATTTATTAAATAATTTATAATATTCTGGAAGAAAAGAATATCTGGGCTGATTCTTTTCTTCCAGAATAATAATCTAAATCACGGGTTCCCAACCTATGGGTCGCGACCCAGAAGGGGGTCGCGACGGGCTTTCTGTAGGGTCGCCAACTTATACAGTTAACTAAAAAAAATGTTCATTATAATGCAATTTTTATTTTTAATGGTGTCTTGAACTTTGAATAATTTGATATACAGTCGACCCCCCTATAACACGGGTTCCTATAGTTCGGATTCCTATATGACGGCGAAAAAATTGTGACGGTATCCGTACAAACAAGGTAAAAAAACTCGTATAATACGGTAAAACGGCATCGAGCAGCCGAACTACTTTTCGCTGTCCAGCGCCACGCTTTAGAGAGTTTAGGCGGGTAAATTGAGTTTACTATTGTCTGTACAGTATTATATATAAATTATATATAAATTAGGTACTGTATATATAATTATATATTAACTTAATTTATTGTAGCTTTATTATAATTATATATATACTTTCCGCCATCCAGCGCCACGCTACAGAGAGTTTAGGCGAGTAAGTTGAGTTTACTATCGTCTGTACAGTATGTAAATTAGGTACCGTAAGTCTAATACAGCACTAATTTTATACATTTCTTGTGAAAGAAACATTTCTTATTCAACGGCCATAAAAATTATTTATATTAATGATGTCTCCAAAGTTCAACGAAGTTTTCGCAGAAAAATAACTTATCAGAAATCGCGGCCGCCGTTTGGTGCGCTGCTCCGCAACGAAAACAAGCTTAAGCAATGGCGATGTCGAATGGCGCACACTCGGTAAGTAATCCTACAATTTTTTGTTTATAGCATAGTTTATACGGATTATTCCCAAAAAACTTATATGTATTTTGGAAATGTTGAGTCAAATTAGTCTAGAATCGGTTAATTTTATGGAAGAAAACCTTTCAAACAGCCGTAGTCCGCAAACTTCACATGTGTCGGGCTGTGATTGGCAAGGACTCGTACAAAATTGATTTATAAAGAACGGAATGTATCTACCGTGTTATAGGGGGGTCGACTGTATTTTTTAAAAATTAAAATAAGTGTAATCTAGGTACACTATTCCGTCACAGTTGGTTGAATCATCTGTTCAGAGTTTGAGAGGAATAAATTAAATGTTGAGAATGACATGAGGTTGGCGTTAACAAAAACTCACCCGCGAATTTTAAGGCTGGTTAATAACATACAATTTCAACAATCGCATTAAATTATTAGACATAATTTAAAATAAAATTATACTAAAAACTAATTTCGTTGTTTTTTTTTAATTACCTTATTAAAAATGTCTTTTTCAATAGTATCGGGATCGCGGGTCACTTGGCTTTTATAAAAAGGGGTCGCCACCCGAAAAAGGTTGGGAACCGTTGATCTAAATTCTATCATATTTTGAGAATGAAGCTAAATAGCTTTCAAAAATGTTAGTCAGGCTTAAGTTGATTACATTTAATTAAGTTACTTAAAAGGATCAATAGAAAAAAATCTCTTTAATGTTTAGTAATATAACACATTTCAAGTTTTCATTGTACAATATCACAGATTGAATATATTTCAAAATAAATGCTTTTTTCTGCTTATCAATCAATCAATGTCAGAATGCTTATCAATCAATTTTTTTTCTTTTAGAATGAAGTTTATGGAGATATTGTAATTCCAACAGACTGTGAAATCTCTAACAAAGGAAATGACGAGATAAATGAATTAGACCCGGTAAAAATTTTTTAAAATATCGGGCATATAGAATGCCACATGCTAGCATAACTAAAATACTTCCTTATGTAATTTTTGACTTAAACAATATCTTCAAAATGTTTATCATTTGAGAATATAAATTTAAAATATGGTGATGAAAGAATATAAATGGTAGCAAACACAATATTACTGTTTTTAACTTAACATTTTTTCTAATTAAAAAAATATACAGAAAGTCCTCAGTAGACATCATTTTGTAATGTCATTAAGGGAAGATACAATAACATTTTATAATTGTTCATAGTTATCATTGTTGAATTTTCTTTATAAACAGTAAGTTTGATTCTGTGAAAATAAATGCTGGAGATTGTAAACAAGATTCAATTAGAATAGTATTAACTAAATTATAGCTTGATTATGTCATTTAACATATGGTAAAATTGGTTTTGTTATATATTGTTTTGTTTAACATCACAGATTTCAAGTCTATTGATGGTAAGTGAGGACTTGCTATATATCATCTGTTTAATGTAAAAGTGGAAACAGTTTTATTAAGAATAACATAATAAGGGAATAAGATACAAACTCAGTCTAATGTTGTTTGTTTGACTAAGAATATTGACATTAGAATTTAATAAATAAAATATATTTTCAACAGATACAAAATTATGTTTTCAGGAATAATTTTTGTATATCAGAAATGGACAACTTCAACTTCTTTACATCACAAGCACAATAAACTGCTTTTGCTTGGCACTTAATATAGATAATTCAGTTTGTTTGGTGTTGTTTTTTTTCCATGGAAATTTCATCAGAGGCTAATAAATATGATCAATTATAGTTAGTTACATTTGTAATGCCATAATACATTTGTATTATAACATATTACTGTTTAATGGCATCAATGATCATGTTTCATTTTTAAGTGATTTTCTGATAAGACATTTTCTCAGTGGCATGCTGTGCAGGGGCGTGCCGTGACATTTGATGATAGGGAAGCTGTGTTTCTGTAAAAAGCCAACATCCAGGGGCAGTCAGTCAATTGCATGTCAGTGATGGTCTAGGGCAGTGATTCTCAAACTTTTTCGATCCACCGCCCCCTTTGTTCCATAAAGTTATACCCAATGCCCCCTAACCCATTTTCTCTTGTGTGAGAAAAGGATTGGAAATATTCTTAGGAAAACTTTTCTATGAATCTCACACTTTGTGCCCTTACTGTACATTGTTCTCATCATCTGGAAACCATTAAACGCNGTCATTTGTTCTCTAACTAATTCGTTTTAGGAGCAGGTGTTGTCCATGGAAATTTCCAAAATTTACAACTTTTCGGTCACTCTCGTAATAAAGACGAAATTTTTCCAGTATTCTAATACAGTATTTCGAAGAAATCAGTCCCCCCTGTACTCTGCTATAGATTGTTTCAGTTAGGCTTTTATTTAAGTAATATTCCAGCTCTTTCATCAGGGTTTTGTTTACGTTGCTTAATTATTTAACTACTTCTTAAGTAGAAATCAGTTACTTTGTACTCGAATATTTGTAGTCTCGGGAAAAAAGTGGAAAGACAAATTTTTATGGCAAACGGATACATAAATCGTAAATTTAAGGAAAATAAATTCTAGAGCCTTTTTCTGTATCTCGTGCATCTCTCTCATTCATTAAATTTAGTTGTAAACGATGCTATCAAAGTAACAGTTAATTTTTAACATTCTACAAGAATTGTACAAGTTTTTTTCAACATCCCCTTACAGATGGGATACACGAAATCGTAATATCACTGGTTTCATTGAAACCAGTGATATTAATCTGTACAGAATTTCATCCTGTCAACTATACAGAACTATCGTAAAAACATACCAGTAAGTTCTTATCGGTTGGGTTAAGTTATAAATCTACTCGTTATTCACGTAATTGAAATATCTAATGGGCAGGTGGCTAACAGCCCAGAACTGGTTCTCGATAGAATTGGAATCGTTATATGTGTGTAGCTTCCACCCAAGGTCGTAGGCTTCCACCAATTCAATTATTTTATTAATGCATAAAGATGCATGTCCAGCACCACTAGGCATAGCTGGACATAGGTTACAGAAAATGGATTGCAAATAAACAATTTCACATAAATATGTAAACGCGGACAATATATAAACTTTGAAGTGGATACAGTAAGCAATGGGCAATTAGTGAATACAATGCAATAGTACATATGGTACATGGAATTTACAAAGGAATAAAACTTGACAATATAACTGTAGAATAGGCAAATACAGTTGTAGAATGAATAAGCATATATGAAGGCACAATTAATTGTTGATACTTGAGCAACAATACTTATACAATGGAGAGCATATAATATAAGATGAATAAATGGTGAAAACAGAATACAAAGAATAAAGTACACAGTACTGATAAGTACACCAATACAATGTAATAGCATTAGCAGGAAGAGAGACTATACAGTATATACAATCTGAATTACATATTACCTAGAAGTTCAGTTACTAGTGGGGACATTAGTCCTCCTGTTGTACTGGTAGATGAGTTGTAAAAATTGGTTGAAGGTGCCCATATCATTTATCAGGTCACTCAAGAACTCGTGATTATTACTTGGCCAGTGGCCATGCTTGTGGTTGATGAGGATGCGAAGCTGTGATCTCTCAGGCTCCAACATGGCACACTCTAGAATGTAATGGAGGCTGCCATCCTGCATATTACAAATAGGGCAGAGGCCACTGTTTTGTAGGTTGACGAAACGCTTAAGGTATGAGTGAAAGCGGCCGTGGCTGGTCAGAAATTGCATAAGCTGAAAGTTGGGTGTGATCCATCTATAAGAGTATATTGCAGAAATATCCGGAAAAAATTTATATGTAATATTTTGATTTAAGTCCCAGTCGTTTTGCCAGTTGGTGTGAAGATCGGTCCATAGTAGCTTTTTGATAGTACAGGTATGTAGGTTAAATTTGCTGTAGTCTATTGGTAAAGTTTCATCAGTGGCCGCAGATTTGGCCAGGGCATCTGCCCACTCGTTCCCAGTGTTGCCCTGGTGGGCTTGTACCCAGATAATTCTGATAGAGTTATCAGTGTATTTGACGGCCTCGTGGATTTCTTGTGCGATGGGGTGGAGATTCTTGCGATGAAGGAGAGAAATAGCAGAGCGAATGGAGTGTGATGTTCAAGTTATGGTAGTTTGTGGTGCACCACTCGATGGCCAACTTGATGGCAAGCAGCTCTGACTGGAAGACAGAGCAGCTGCCATGCAAGCGGGCTCTGTGATGAAAGATCTCTGTCTTGTTCTGATAGGCAACAAAGCTGCAGCCTACATTATTATCACTTTTTGACCCATCAGTATAGATGTTTATTGAAGGCTCAGGATGAGAGTTGTGGGAGAGGTTAGTTAACTCGTTCGGGTAAGGGGATTTACAAAAGTCAATAGGACGCTCGAGCAAGTCAGCCCGAATGATACCTGTACTGGTGACGATGTCGTTGCCCCACTTGATGTTCCAAGTGTCACTGAATAGATTGATGACTATCAATCGGAGGCTTTTTACATATTACTTGAAGGCTGGCATTAGGGGTGGTGGCCTTTGCGATGTGAAGCATGGCAGTCCGCTGGGCGGAGATGAGCCTCCGACGTGGGTGGGATTTGGCAGCAGCCTTTCCCGAAGTACCGCACCCATAAGTGATGATAGGGACGAAAATTGAATCGTAAATTATACTCATAGCTTCTGAGTTTAGGCCCCAGCTATTTTTGGCCACCCTGGTANCTTCAATTATATGAATATACTTTTAAAGAAAATTATAATTAAATATAGTTTTGCAAAGAAACGTACATAAAAATATAAAATATTCTTTACTTTTTAAATCTTAAAACAATGCACTTAGTCAAATAGCTCCCTATGAGTGGCTAATGGATGGAATCGAAGAAGGTTGCAGTGTGTGCATACACGCGGACTGCCAAATCCCCAGGGTGCCGATACTGGTCAGTGTCAAATACCTCTTTTGTCGCATCATTAGTATATCCCAAAGGACGCGACAGGACTGTTGTACATTTTAAATGTTTCTCACCATATCTTTAAAAATCTAAATATGTTAAACTTAATAGTCATTTGTTCTCTAACTAATTCGTTTTAGGAGCAGGTGTTGTCCATGGAAATTTCCAAAATTTACAACTTTTCGGTCACTCTCGTAATAAAGACGAAATTTTTCCAGTATTCTAATACAGTATTTCGAAGAAATCAGTCCCCCCTGTACTCTGCTATAGATTGTTTCAGTTAGGCTTTTATTTAAGTAATATTCCAGCTCTTTCATCAGGGTTTTGTTTACGTTGCTTAATTATTTAACTACTTCTTAAGTAGAAATCAGTTACTTTGTACTCGAATATTTGTAGTCTCGGGAAAAAAGTGGAAAGACAAATTTTTATGGCAAACGGATACATAAATCGTAAATTTAAGGAAAATAAATTCTAGAGCCTTTTTCTGTATCTTGTGCATCTCTCTCATTCATTAAATTTAGTTGTAAACGATGCTATCAAAGTAACAGTTAATTTTTAACATTCTACAAGAATTGTACAAGTTTTTTTCAACATCCCCTTACAGATGGGATACACGAAATCGTAATATCACTGGTTTCATTGAAACCAGTGATATTAATCTGTACAGAATTTCATCCTGTCAACTATACAGAACTATCGTAAAAACATACCAGTAAGTTCTTATCGGTTGGGTTAAGTTATAAATCTACTCGTTATTCACGTAATTGAAATATCTAATGGGCAGGTGGCTAACAGCCCAGAACTGGTTCTCGATAGAATTGGAATCGTTATATGTGTGTAGCTTCCACCCAAGGTCGTAGGCTTCCACCAATTCAATTATTTTATTAATGCATAAAGATGCATGTCCAGCACCACTAGGCATAGCTGGACATAGGTTACAGAAAATGGATTGCAAATAAACAATTTCACATAAATATGTAAACGCGGACAATATATAAACTTTGAAGTGGATACAGTAAGCAATGGGCAATTAGTGAATACAATGCAATAGTACATATGGTACATGGAATTTACAAAGGAATAAAACTTGACAATATAACTGTAGAATAGGCAAATACAGTTGTAGAATGAATAAGCATATATGAAGGCACAATTAATTGTTGATACTTGAGCAACAATACTTATACAATGGAGAGCATATAATATAAGATGAATAAATGGTGAAAACAGAATACAAAGAATAAAGTACACAGTACTGATAAGTACACCAATACAATGTAATAGCATTAGCAGGAAGAGAGACTATACAGTATATACAATCTGAATTACATATTACCTAGAAGTTCAGTTACTAGTGGGGACATTAGTCCTCCTGTTGTACTGGTAGATGAGTTGTACAAATTGGTTGAAGGTGCCCATATCATTTATCAGGTCACTCAAGAACTCGTGATTATTACTTGGCCAGTGGCCATGCTTGTGGTTGATGAGGATGCGAAGCTGTGATCTCTCAGGCTCCAACATGGCACACTCTAGAATGTAATGGAGGCTGCCATCCTGCATATTACAAATAGGGCAGAGGCCACTGTTTTGTAGGTTGACGAAACGCTTAAGGTATGAGTGAAAGCGGCCGTGGCTGGTCAGAAATTGCATAAGCTGAAAGTTGGGTGTGATCCATCTATAAGAGTATATTGCAGAAATATCCGGAAAAAATTTATATGTAATATTTTGATTTAAGTCCCAGTCGTTTTGCCAGTTGGTGTGAAGATCGGTCCATAGTAGCTTTTTGATAGTACAGGTATGTAGGTTAAATTTGCTGTAGTCTATTGGTAAAGTTTCATCAGTGGCCGCAGATTTGGCCAGGGCATCTGCCCACTCGTTCCCAGTGTTGCCCTGGTGGGCTTGTACCCAGATAATTCTGATAGAGTTATCAGTGTATTTGACGGCCTCGTGGATTTCTTGTGCGATGGGGTGGAGATTCTTGCGATGAAGGAGAGAAATAGCAGAGCGAATGGAGTGTGATGTTCAAGTTATGGTAGTTTGTGGTGCACCACTCGATGGCCAACTTGATGGCAAGCAGCTCTGACTGGAAGACAGAGCAGCTGCCATGCAAGCGGGCTCTGTGATGAAAGATCTCTGTCTTGTTCTGATAGGCAACAAAGCTGCAGCCTACATTATTATCACTTTTTGACCCATCAGTATAGATGTTTATTGAAGGCTCAGGATGAGAGTTGTGGGAGAGGTTAGTTAACTCGTTCGGGTAAGGGGATTTACAAAAGTCAATAGGACGCTCGAGCAAGTCAGCCCGAATGATACCTGTACTGGTGACGATGTCGTTGCCCCACTTGATGTTCCAAGTGTCACTGAATAGATTGATGACTATCAATCGGAGGCTTTTTACATATTACTTGAAGGCTGGCATTAGGGGTGGTGGCCTTTGCGATGTGAAGCATGGCAGTCCGCTGGGCGGAGATGAGCCTCCGACGTGGGTGGGATTTGGCAGCAGCCTTTCCCGAAGTACCGCACCCATAAGTGATGATAGGGACGAAAATTGAATCGTAAATTATACTCATAGCTTCTGAGTTTAGGCCCCAGCTATTTTTGGCCACCCTGGAAAATGAGGCTGACCCTGTCGCAAATATACTTAATGTGCTGTTCCCAGGAGAGATGGTAATCTAGTGTGACCCCCAGATATTTTAGGGTTTTCTCAATTTTAATTGAGTGACCGTCCATTTTGATGGTTGGAGTTCTTTTGTAGAGATTGGGCTTGCGAGGATTGGTGAAAATGATACCCTTAGTTTTATGGGGGTTGAAATGTAATTTGTGGTGAATGCCCCAATGATAGATGTTATAGAGGATACTAGAGGCCTTCCTTTCAAGATCTGCTCTGGATGAGCCGTTGACCAAGACCATTACCTCGTCTGCAAAGGCGGTAAGGGAATCCTGGCCAAATGTGAGTTAAGAAAGTCATTAAACGTGATATTCCATAGCAGGGGGCCGCAGACAGAGCCCTGCGAGCAACCCCTGGCAACGGTTTTTTGGTGAGAGAGATTGCCGATATCGAGAATAGCTTTCCTGTTGTTTAAGTAGTGACGGATAAGGTTGAAGAGGTTGGTGGGGCAGGCTACGTTGTTGAGCCCCTTGAGGATCAAGGGCCACCAGATGCTGTCAAAGGCCTTCTCGAAGTCTAGGCTTATGCCTAAGACATATTTGTACTGGTTGAGGAGTTGGTGAATATTGGTGGTGACATTATGGATTGTGTCATTAGAAGACCTTTGGTGCCTGAAGCCAAATTGTGCCCCATGGAGCCTGTGTGTAGCTTCCACGTGCCAAGATAGCCTTGTGGTAATTAATTTTTCTAACACCTTACCCAAAATGGGAAGGAGCAAAATCAGCCTGCAAGTGGACGAGCCAGGTTTGGGAATAGGAACCAGCTTGGCTACCTTCCAGGCTTCCGGGAAGATGCCATACTGCAGGCAGGTGTTGTAGATATGCAACAGTTGAGTAGGGAACAAGTCCCAGAGCTTTTTCACAAGTTTTGCTGAGATGCCTTCAATGCCAGGCGCTTTAGTAGCTGGAAGCTCACTGATTATCTTATCCACCTCATGCTGATCGAAAGGAGGGGTGTTTGGATTGTTTATGGTAGTCTGCTTTCCTGATATCTTGTTGCCATGTGTCATCATCTGCAGGGTTGACATCGAGGCAGGTGTTTATTTTTTTCTTCATGACGTCTGATAAATTATCATTGTTACTTGTTTCAAGGATGTGACTTCTTTTTAGCTTGCCTGTGCAGAGCTTTGTTATATAGCCCAAGGGCTTGCTGGAGGCTTTTGTACAGTAGCTCCTCCAAGAGGTGATCTTTGCATTTTTTATTTCTTGCTTAAATCTTCTGATTCTGCAGGTATTGTTCTTTGAGGTGGCTGCATTCTGGTTCACTTCTACAATTTTGATATTTCTTCCGGAGGTGTCTAACACTTTTGCACATATCGGAGAGCTTTGTATCCCACCAGGGAACAGCCCTGTGAAGGTGAGAGGTACGTGGAATGAATAGATTGCAGGCTGTGTTAATGTTTTCAATAGAGCTGTCAAGAAAATTACTGGCGTCATCAAAATCACTGGGGTTGTAAGTGGTGAGTTTTGTCCGAAGGAAGCTGGTGAGGCCATCCCAATCAGCACGTGATAAATTATAACGTAGTGAAAGGTTGGTGTTACCAGTGGTAGTTACATTATTTATCGTAAAGTGGAGGTAGGCATGTTCACTGAGTGAATTCTCCTGGAGGACCCTCCAGCCCGTGACGAGATTAGAGCACTGAAATGAGGCACCAGTAATGTCAATCCAGTTGTGGCCCCTAGAACTGTAGAATGTTGGTGAGGAATGTGGATCATTTATGAGAATTAAGTTATTGGTGGCGAGAAAATCACCTAAGGCAGTCCCTCTGTCGTCCCCCAGGCAGGGGAATGTGAATTGAAATCACCAACAAGGAGAAGGTTGTTGTACTGAAGGTTGTTGATGGTGTCTTGGAGAAGGTTAATATTGTTATTATAGGGACAGTAGACATTAATGATAATGAAGGTGCTGTTATTTATAGTTGTCTCAATGCACACAATGTGCTCATTGCTGTGAAGAAGAATTGGAAAGTTTTTGTTGTTTATGACAGAGCTAGCCCAGGGGTAGTTCGTTGTTCCTTTTATGACAGTAGTGGAAGTGGGAAGACATGCAGGGACGTTCCTTTGACAATATGGCTCCTGAATGAAAATAAAGTCGTATTTGTTGATGTTGGCAGTTAAGAGAGAAGTGGCATTAATGCCTCTGCCCAAGTTGATTTGGAGAAAACTTATTTGTCGTCGATTATTCTGAGCCATAATCGGTTCTGGAGATAATGTTTAGCTTGGTTCTTTGATAGACTGGGCAGGAGCTGTCTCTAGCATTATGATCAGTGTTGGCAAGTTTCTCATGAAGGCAGTTGCAACATTCTGGTTTCTTTTCTGTTAGGGCAATCTTTAAATGAATGTTCCTGGTGGCAGTGGCTACAAGTATTTTTAGTATGGGCACAGTTTTTTGTTGAATGCCCGTAAGCGCAGCAACGGAAGCACTACAGGACTGGGCAGAAGTCACCCACCCTGCAGTGGGACCATTCGATATTGATTTTTCCGATCATTAGCAGGTACTGTTGTAATTTAGGTGTGACTTCTAAAACATGATTTTTAAATTTGGCTTCTTTTTTCCCAGTGGTAAATTTTATTCGAAGATGTTGACCAAATTCCTCTTCAGAGAATGTTTCTCTGATGAGGTCGTTCTGATCGTACATGGATTTTATAATGCACTCATTTGACTCATGGTTGGGGACAGAGTATAAAATCATGTGAGGCTTCCTTTTCTTAGGGAGCCTAGCACTGACTTCAGGAAGTTTTTCCCTGATGCTAATTTCGAGGTTGGCAATATCATCTTGTTTTTCGAGGTCAATTGCAACACTTCCACCAGCAATCTTTCTAATAAGATCGACACCAATTTTCAAGGCTGAAGGCTGGATTTCCATTTGCAGCAGTTTCTGAAGTTTTTCACTAGTGCTGTTTTCATCCATGCTGTAAACCAGCAGGACATTATTGGAAGATGCATGCGTTGTTTGTTTTGCTTTATAGGGCATGTTGACGTTAATACCCGATTTTAGCACTGTGCTATATAATGGCTGGGTATAAGCAGTTGTTTTTGCTGTCCCCATGGTGTTTAGCTTTTCTAGGATATTATCCTGTTTTTCCAAAATTTTGCTGTCCTTCTTGTCTTCCATTAATTGGTCTAGCCTGGCAGAAATTTCTTCTAGTTTTTGTATACCAGTGTGGTTGGTGAAAATGTCTATTATACGTTCAACACTTCTGATGATATATTTAGGATGTTGCTGTTTGCCAATTTTGGTGTCTTTATTATTAGCCAGATAAGCCTTGAGTTTGTCTAAGACCTCGAAAGCAGCCATCTGCTGGTCGGTAGTATTTAAAAAATTGTCCTCAGACATGGTTGCAGATAAGACACAGTGTGGGTCAGTTCCCACGCCAACATTAGATGCGCAAGGAAAATGGAAGAGCCTGGCCAACACACTAGTTTACGACCGACACCAAAAATTATCAACTATGTGTAAACTGAAGTACTGAACAGAAACAAAAGAGCAGCGGGTACTCACTGCGAATATTTTACTTTGTAATCCGAAGGAATATGATCCGTGGAAGGTCTCTGTGATGAGCCGCCGGAGAGAAGTTGCACTTTCCCTTGGTGAACACTCCAGAAGTTGAGGCACACAGGTGAAGTCTTAGCCAGCTGTCTATAAGGCTGAGGTCTCTGTTGTGAAATGGCCAAGCTAACTTGGCTGGTGGAAACACTGGACGAGGAGGAGGCTTAATCTGTGTGGAATGCAACAGGTGAGGGTTATGGCACCAGCTGTCACTGGCATCCAAACAGATGGGAAGGACTGGTTTGCTTGGTTAGCAGGTCTTCCACACAACCAAAAGCAGATGAGGGTGTCACACCAACACAACTAAATATGCAATACACAAGGCGATGACACAACACAATATCCACCAGTTTTCCAATGGGCATGTAAATACAAACGCCTGGAAGATGGAATCCTAATATTCAAAATGGCCAATGCCCTAGTCTTGGAGCATGTTCCAAAGCCAGGAACACAAGATGGATGGCACAAAACTCCCAGGCTAAACTAAATAACTTTAGGTAAAAAGTTAGACTTAGCGCTGCTAAGCCTAATGCCTTATGCTATAACACAGGAGATAACTAATAGGCCTAATATTAGGCTTAACCCAGCTAAACTTTGCAAAAACAGACTCTGCAGCAGAGGAAATACACAACTTACCTGGTTGAAGAACAAGCTAAAACTCCGTAGGCTTCCACTGGCTAAACCAGGTGAGGTTGGTGCTCTGTAAAGCGCATGCACAAATCTGGCTTTTTGGAATCTGACAATACAGAGATTCCACTCTGCCACTAATATTTGAATATACAATAGCAATATTATTATTATTTTTTTTCACGTGTAGTATAGAAATTTGTAATAAGATACGTAATGCGGTTATAATAAAATATTGTGCGATTATTTTCATATAATTAAAATTAATATGTATTTACTTTTTATAAAATACAAGGGAAGCAGCACTTCCACCGCTTCTAATGATGGCACACCACTGATGCTGTGACATTTGATGATAGGGAAGCTGTATTTCTGTAAGAAGCCGACTTCCAGGGGCAACCAGTTAACTGTGCGTCAGTGATGGTCTAGGGTCCATTCCTACATGTGTGGTGACGGAGGAGACAAGAACGACAAGTTACTGACAAAACCCGTTTATTTTATGTTAAAATAAACGGGTTGGCACAATAGATGAGAAACTGCTTTTTTTGTGCATTGACACACGGCTAGGGAATTCGATCCTGGCCCTTATTTCTAATCCCGAGATTTCAGGATTATACTTAGTCAATCTAGGGATCTTGGGATTATTTCGGTATTGAGGGTTAATAAAAAATAAGAAAATCTTACAGAAATCAGCTCTTTAATCAACAAATCAAAATTTAGACAAAAATCAACATATTTTATAGTATACACCTAGTTAATCTAATCACTCTAACTAATCAGACTAACCAGACTTAAAATCACTCAGTCTTTATGTTAAAGTTATTCTTTTCCAAGCATCACTGAGATCTCTTTAAATTTACATAAATTGAAAAAATCTTTATGTAACAAACTATGCAAATAAACATTGAAAATTAACAAAAATCTCTCTTAACATTGACTAAATAGATGACTTTAATGTAACAACCTAGTAAGTAGGTAGTAAAGTAAGTTTCTCAGCAAAAAGTATTTTAAAATAATATTAATTGGTCACATTTTTCTTAAATATAATGAAAACTAATCTAATAGGAACATTCTAATCTGAATTGCAAAAATATGATCTGAGAAATAACAATGCATCCAGTATCTCATCACCAAGTCTGCTTCTCACATTTGTTGCACATATATGCAGCTACTGAGAAAGTGTGTTCAGGTTTGATGGCAGTTGGAAGAATTATTAGTAAATACTTAAGCCTGCTCTAGGTTATAGCTCCAAGTAGAATTTGAAGACTCACAGATTCATTTCTTTCTTAACAATTTTGGAAAAATCATTTTCATTTAATGCTTCAAGAGACATCATTTTCATGCTGTTTTCTATTTCCAGCTGAAGCTTTTCTTTGAGCGTCAAATCACTTTTTTCTGTATTTGTAGGCTCAACTTGCATATTTCGTTTCTCTTCATCATTTTTTTTTTACCATTTAATCTCTCAATTAATGGAACAATCTGGTTTTTTATCAGGACTTTGCTCAGACTTGAAAATATATGCTTTATTTCATCATTGTCAGCCAAATTGTCACTATGTGGATTTTGTAGGTAGCATAAAATGCCACTCAACTCATTTCTTCGGTGATCTTTCATTTTAATATTGTTAAATGTAAATATTGTTAAAATATAAATGTTTAAATGTGTAAATTTCTTAATGTTAGAGACATTAATATATATAAATTATAAAATATTTTTTTCCACAGGATAATACAAAATTTAATTTGATAGATTTTGTATGTAATGAGGATACAGAATTAAAGGATTATAATAAAAAAATAGATGATTATCAATCAAGTATAACTGACTTCAGAAAGGATTTTCTAAAAAACAATGAACAGATATTGAAAAGTGAATATTTAAATATCAATAGTAATGATAAAAGGAAATATATTTTACATTCAGATGAATATCAATGGACTTTTCAATCTGACATGACATTAAATGCATTAAACAGTGTTAAAAATATAAATTATTTATCTAAATATTCAGAATTGACTTTAAGTTCAGATATAAAAAATATGACATTGCATAAAAAAGAATCCAAAACTCTTCATAAACCTATGTATTCAAAAAAATCAGAAAAATTGGATGTAAGTGATGATCTATATGAACAATTTGATGATTCATCAGATGAAGAAATTGATGTTGTTACAGTAGATGAAGAAATTGATGTTACAGTAGATGAAAAGTCAATCACTGTTGTACAAAATTTTCAAAAGCTAACTATGGAGAATTTTTCAGTGAAGAAATTTTTAGATGAAAATGAATACTCAGGACCAACAAAGAGCAAAGCAGCACAAAAGAAAAGCCAACGAAAACAGAAATCTAAAACAAGCAACAATATAAAAAAACCACCTCAAAAATTTCTTGCTAGATCACAAATGAAAAGAAGACAAAATGGCAAAAAAGACAGCAATCAACTTCAATTGAATGAAAAAAAAATATTATCTCCAATTATGTGCAATAAAAAAAAGGATCAAACAGAAAATATAATTACACAAAATATGTATAAAGGGAGCGAAAATCACAAGATTACAGACATGTGTAATACTTTTGAAGAAGAGAAAAATAAGGAAACTTGTACAACTAAGAAATTACACCAAAACAAAAATAAACAGCAAGAAGAAAAACATCAAGTTCAAGCTGCTAATGTACAAAAACAAAGTATAAATGTAGCATCTAGTTTTCGACAAAATGAAGATAAATTGAAGTTATCTGACAACAAGACAAATGAAGGTAATAATTTTAAAATTACTATACAAGTATCCCTCATAACATGGTACTTCAACACTGTTTTGTTGTAACATGGTTGGAAAATTGGAGAAATCCCCCATACAACACAGTTCCCGGATTTCTTCTAACACAGTTTGAGAATTTGGGAAATCATTTGTACAAAATTTCACAACCATTAAGTACAAACTCCATTATTCAATATTTTTTATTCAAGTAATCGTGTGTTGCTCATGGATTTTAGAATATTGAAATTTTTAATTTCTTCTGTGACATTTATCAGGTGTTTACTTTAATGAAAACTGATATCCCAATTTTTTCTTTCTTGTCCTAGCTTTCCTGTCAACCAGGTGTTATTCTCATTTCTTTTAGACTTTAATCTTTAAGACTGTCACTATGTTTTGTTTTTATAGATTATCTTTGTATTTAGTAAAGTTTATTTAAACATTTTAGGTAAATGTTATTAAACTCTTTTTAACCTTAGGTAAGCAATCATTCATAAAATGACTAATGAAATACAGCAGTATCTTGGTACTTGAACTATATCCCAAACTTGATCAATTTTGTATTTAAACACAGATTCTGAAAAAAGTCACTTGGTACCCAACTGAACAAACACTACCCACTAAAACAAATTTTTGATTAATTAATAACATATTTTTATTTCGTCATCCATAAAAGATTTTTATAATGAAAATAAAAAATATGAAAATGTTGCTGATGCTTTTGATCAAAATCAACAAAAGATCAGAAGATAAGGATACTTTGTAAAAACAAAATATTTGTTTAATTAATATTAATGCATAATATATTGTGATTGTTAGTTAATTGATTGGAAATAAATTATTGCTAGCTTTAATAAACATATTTCTCTTAGTAATGGAAAAGAATAGTACAGTTTTGTTAACTCTTGGAACCTAATCCTATGTTTTGCACTACTCCTTTGTTTCAAATAGCATCTATTTGCATAACACAGCACTTTTTTGGAACATTACTGTGTTATACAAGGGATACCTGTACTTATATTAATATTATATTATGATTATCTTTTAAATTAAAATGCTAATTACATTATTATATTTAGAAAATTTATTATTTTAATATAATATGGCTAAATTTTGATATAAATATAGTAAATTTAAAATTTTTTGATCAGTTAAATGGCTAATAGTGTACATATCATAATCAGTTATATTCCTAATAATAATAATCTTCTGTAAGAAATAATTACTCTTGCATTGATGTTATTATCTAATTTATTTAGTAAAATGCAAAAAATCAATTATATTTTGTCTTTATAAATAATTTTCATTCTATATGTAGAACAAAATGTCATTACTAGTTTTAAATCAAATTTGAAAGATAAAATAATAACTATTGGGTAATGAAATAAATTTATTTATTAATTAAAAACATGAAAGCATAATCCATCAAATAGTCATCCTTTTTATTTGCTTTCATGTTCCAGAATACAATTAATGTTGACCATGACCCTTCTTTGATGGTCTCTATTTCTAAACCATGAGCAGCTTTCTTTGTAGGCTACTTATCAACTAAGAAGTTTACAAAGAAAGTTCATGGTCGTCATTAATTTCTGCTGGCTGTTGTTGTTTTTTTTACTTTGCTTAGTAAAATCATTGGAATTGGGCTGTACTGATGATAATCAAGTGATTTACAATGAGTGAATTCTATCGTCTTATCTTGAATTTTTGAGATTCCCCAAGAAATTCAAAAGTTTTTGAAAATTTAGTGTTTAATAATTACACTTAATATTAATAATGCTAATAAATATTACTGTTTTTTGAATAAATTTATTTATATTGTCTGACCAGCAAATTGTTCATAAGAAATTGTTTTCTTATTTACTGTTTTATTTTTAAATTTACTGAATTTATGAATTAGCATTAAACAAAAGTAAAATATTTCTTACACAAATAACTTATTAATTTGATTATAAAAAGAATTTGAGAACTAAATTATAATTGTTTTATTTTTCTGTAGCTATTTTAATTCAATCTAAACTTTGTAAAAAAATACTACAATCAAAGAATCAAGGGAAAAATCAGATAAATTCAACTGAAAATCTTGAAGGCAATGTTTCATCAAATATTACTCAGAAAAAGGAACCAAATGATCCTGACTTAAAAGGATATTTAAAGATTATAAAAGATTGTCCATTGGACAGTCCAAAACTTTTAATTGNACAGAAAAACTAATTATTTACTAGTAGAGAGTAGAGTATGTCAACAACATAGAATAGCTCATACGATGTTTTTGTGGATAGTCGAGGTTATTACCCGAATTCCCGAATCAGTGCGAACATTTGCACCAATAGTAAGGCAGTGCTGCCAGATGCAGGAAAATAAAATTTGTTCATTTGAAAAATTACAAATAGGACATAATTCCATATACGCTATACAGTATTATGATTGCTGACCTAAACTAAATTCATAGGCTGTTGATAGTTTGGTGGTCGTCTTATAGAACAGATATATGCTAAAACTATAAAACTTTGATGAAAATTTATACCTCATTTTATCTGAAGGTCATCTTATCTGTGGAAATATACAGTTGATTTATTTAATTATTCTATAGTTTCTAATACATAATAGGCAGTGTAATAAATAGTTTTTTTTAAATTTAATTATTATCTCTTTATTGAACTTTTGTCCTACATTGCACATATTACTCAGAAAAAGGAACCAAATGATCCTGACTTAAAAGGATATTTAAAGATTATAAAAGATTGTCCATTGGACAGTCCAAAACTTTTAATTGATGATAAAATAAAACCAGATGATATATATCCAAGAACTTTCAAGAATAAAAAATTTGATATTAGTAATTTAAATCAACCACATATTAAGAATGAACTTGATAAAGTATTAAGTCCACAATTTTCTTCTGAACAAAACTGTAATAATAATTATAAACAAAAAGCTAGACCGTCATTAAAAGCAAAAAGTAATAAAAAAAGGCTATTATATTCAATTGCTTTAGACCATAATTATGCTCAACCCTTCAAGCTTGGAATAGATTCTCAAATTAAAACAGAAAGCATTTTAATAAATCAAATTATGTCTTCAGAAAAAACAAAAAATGAATCATCATCTGTGAATGCATTACCAAAAAATGAAAGTATAGAAAAAGAAAATATGTACAAAGAAACAGGATATGAGAATTTTAATACAGAATTTCAAAATCACAGTCAGAAAAACAGCCATCAGGAAGTCTGTTCAAAAAAGTTAGTTAATATTATGAACACTAATTTTGATGCAGTTTGTAAAGTAAAAGAAAATAAACTACAGTATTCTGTTACCAGAAATCTAAAACAATTGTATTTTCCATCTAAAAATGTTAATTCACAAGCACTTGCTTCCTTAAGTTCAAAAGGAGAACAAACTGGAAAAGTTTTTGAAAAAGATATGGATGTAAAGCAAAGAGAAAAAGGAAAAGATAATATGCTGAAAACTGTAAGTAGTATGCTCAATCTAATATTCAAAAACTTGTTGCTCATTGTATTTTAAAAAATTTATTAATTTTTAGTTTGTCTTTTCTCTAATTTCTCCAAACAGGAAGAAGACAATTATAAAACTGTTGCAAAAACAATAATTAAATATCCATCAACATATGGTAGAGGATTTATTACATCAGATAATGTTAGTGTTAATAGGAACTTAAAACATCATCATTCTTGGTCTAAAAGTTATTCTTCAAGATCCCGATCAAGATCTAGTCAGTCAAGTGAATCAAAATATAAATCTCATAAATCTTCAGATTATTATTCTTATAAGAAGAATATTTCAAGTTCTAGGTCCTCAGATAGATCCCGATCAAGATCTCCTAGTCAGTCAAGTGAATCAAAATATAAATCTTGTAAATCTTCAGATTATTATTCTTATAAGAAGAATATTTCAAGTTCTAGATCTTCTTCAGAAAGCTCCTCTGAAAATGATTCACACTATAATTATAAAACATCACAATCATCACCAAGATACTATCATTCTTCTCCATGTTCAAAATATAGTTCAAGTTATGAATCACATTCATCAAGGTATTCAAGGAGGTAATGCTTTAAAATTTTTATTAAATTTAGTTCTTTCTATATTTGAAATCTAAATTATATAATACAATAAAATTTGTGTAAACAAGAATCACACCATGCCAAAATTTTTTCTGTCTTCAACAAGTTTTAGTAACTTTTTTAATCTTTAAACTATACAAGATAAATGCCACACAATTTACATTAATTTTTTTAATAGTAAAATCACTTTTACACAAGTAAAATTTTATTAATAGCTTTTATCTAAATTAAGTGATTCCAAATACAGATGGGAGTATGTGAATTCAGAATTGAGAACTATTCAAATCTAAAAAGTTAGTTGTTAACACACAATACTAGGTGAATGGGCAATACCATGTTGCCTTATTGCTTTTGAGAAATTACATTTGTTACTTGTTCTTGAAAACCCAGTAATACAAACAGTGTTTAGAACAAAAAGTAATAATATAATTAAAATAAAATTAAAGTAAAGTAAAATTACTTAAAGTAAGCTTCCAGTTTTCCAAAAGACAATGTTCATGCAATACCAGGTTTATGAATAATAATTTTGATTATTTCTCTGATAAAAACAGTCCATGTGCTACAATATAATTTTAATAGCATTCCAAACTAGTGTAAAACTATGCATCACAATTAGTTTTCCCAATTCTGTATTTACATTACTCACAATATCCTTTTTATGCTCATTAATTCTAATTCATATTGATCTAAATAGTTATGCTGATGTAGAATGTGTTGTGATGAATGCAAGATAAAATGTAAATTAATTGAAAAAACTAGAGTATATTCTATCTTTATAGTTAGCCAAGTGTTTTAAATTAGACATTAAACTGAAATATCAAGCCTTTGGCAGGTCATACTATAGTTTATAGGTAGTACTGCATGTAAAATTTGTTACAGTAATTGTATTGCATGTGTACTTTATATATAGACTAGCTGTTACCCGAGACTTCGCCCGCGGAGGTTTTGCAAGCAAACCCCATTTATATTCAGTATTTCAACAACCATAGTAATTGTTATATAACACCTACCGCTGTGAATGATGAGAATTGCCGAGAATCAAACAAACTATTTTCAATTTGATCAATTTTATGGAACGTTTACAATTGTTCTATAATCGAACCAATATGCAATAACAAATTTGAATTTAAAACGGTTCGAACATTTTTAAAATCAAAACAGATAAAAATATTTATTACAATGTCTGAAATGTTATTAATTTATGACACGTAAGTACTCGATGAAGACTAAATCCTCTCCCGCCTGCGGGGGAATTTCGAAAAATCCCTTCTTAGTGTGCGTTTCCATGATGTACCCTAACTGTCTACCAAATTTCACCTCTTTAGGTTAAGCGGTTTGCTCTGTGCGATGATGAATCAGTGAGTCATTCAGTCAGGACAAGCAATTTTATATATTTAGATTATTGCACAGTTGTTTGTACAATACTTTCAGTTTAATTTAATTAAAATTTCAGCTGATATAAGGTTGCCTATCCTTTATAATCTGCATGCCTACTGATAAATGACTGAAGTGAACTCATTTAAAAAGGGATTTTCAGCATGGACTTTTTTTCTAGACTCATAGTGGAGATATACTCAATAGGGAGGTCAGTCCCTACACAAACAATGGGGAATTTCCAAGGTGGGCTCATCTTGTGAACACATTCTTAGTAAACACATCTCCCTAATGAATGCACCTCATACGAGATATGAGAATCCAAACTTTAACAAAACTTAATTGTTGAGCAAGTATAGCAACATCGACGATTGTTGTCCTCAGCTACCTGAGAAAATCTCCACTTACACTTTCCAGACAACGAAAGTAATGCATTCCCATGATCTGCTGATCTCTTAGCCGGGCAATGTCGGACTGATATCAAAGTTGTTGGCTGAATAGTCATTTGTCGCCCGTTTCTCCAGGAGTAAGGTCGTCACAAAATTTCTCCAACTTTTAATTGTGCCAGTGCCCAATCCTATCCAACTGGATATCTCGCCTACTCGCTTTTAAACATCACCTATCATTGTGCCTTTAAAGATGAACTATCGGAGATTCAAAATCTTACTTACAATCCTAAATGAGACTGTCACAACGAAACCCTAATCCAAGATCATCACTCTGGGAACATCCTCTACAAAAGGTATTTATCGTCACACAAACCTTATGTGAACTCTTTATCCCGTGACCCCGGGCATATTTAGATGCATTTTTCTTGATTTGAACTCGTTAACAATATAACATGTATAAAATGTGTATAATTATATAATTTCCTTTTAATAATAAATGATTGTTAAGTAACCTAGTCCCTGTGTGCACCCCTTCCCACTTGCTACCTCGCAGTCTCCATCCCGAATCCATTTGCTCATTCATGCGACTGTTTGCGTGACCTACTTTCTAATCAAACCACCATCGCGGCTTCCAGGCCAATCGGGATACGGTGGTGTCATTCCTGACAGGGTGTTGAGGAGGTGCTGACTCTCCGGTCACAGAGAGATGTATTCATTAGGGAGATGTGTTCAGTAAGAGGTTTTACTGTATATGTTGGCCTTAAGCCTTTCAGGCAAATATTTCAGATTTATTTATTTTCATGTTTTCATGTAAAATTGTGTGTAAATAATACACAAATTGTTTATTTACACACAATTTTACTTGCTTATAAAGTGTTCTGAAAGCTACATATAAATTACAGATTTTATTAAACTGCACATAGAAACTTGTAACTTTCACTTATTAGTTTAATTTTTATCGGATAAAATGAAAGTTTTGTATGAAATTATTTCATTTTGGCATATTCTGATGGTACGAGGGCTATTTTTTAAATAAGGTCTGTTTGTGAATGAGAGTGAGAAAACATGTGATTGAAGCAGTGTGCATGAGCATCTTGCTTTCAGCATGTTTTGTGCATGTTTAGATACCATTTGCAGCCATATCACCTGTCTGTGTGCTGAGCTGTAGAAGTTTATAATGTTTAAGAAAATTGAGTCACTTGCTGACTAAGATATGATCTGTTATTCGATTTCAGCATGAAAGATCATGGTAACTGTCTTTTCGGACAAGAAAGGGACTTTGTTAGTAGATTTTATGCCAAGAGGCACAATATGATTATTGTGCCTCTTGGCATAAAATCTACTATGCTTCTGATGCTTATTGTGTGACCTTGAGAAAACTCCACTGTGCCATACAAGACAAGCAGTGTGGCATAGTGTCTTCCATCGGTAGATTTCTTTGAAGTCTGAATAAAAAACTTTTGAGCAGTATGGTAAAAATGGTAATTATGTAGAAAAGTATGTAAAATATGGAAAAAAATATATTTTAACAATATTTACAGTTTTTAATCTTCTGAAACCGTGTTTTCTTAATTTGATTCACTAACACAATGTGTGTTGAAATTGTAACACATCTTGTGTTAGTGAATCAAAGATATTTACAATATTTTTCTTATCAAAAAAAATTTAAAAAATACCCTTTGTATATCAATGTTAGCAAAGTATATCATTTGTTACTTGTTTTTGGAAACCCAATAATACAAGCAGTGTTCAGAACAAAAAGTAGTAATATAATTGAAGTTAATTTTATTTTAATTATATTACTACTATCATCTGCTAGGTGAAATAAAATTCTGCTTTTTAGTTCATTTTGTATCTCAAAGATTCATGTTCATTTATAATTTTCCCTGCCACACAGACATGTAGAAACCTAAGCACAAAAACTGAGTGATTTACAATTACTCCTCACAGTGTTTTATGCATCTCAATTGGATAAACATAAATGTGGTTTTTTTTTCATCTCTACTAATACAGCCTGGTAGAGTGTGTGGTATGTTTGCATGAAGGATTCAGGTGTAAAAGTTGGCACCATTTTCATTACACATTAAAATGTGTAGTAAAGCTAAACAGCAATGTATTTTAATTTAATTATATACTGTAAACTTTTTTGCCAATTTGAAACCATGTCATTATATGTATTGTTTCAAATTAAAATACTGTAAACTTGTTAACTATAATGTGCACTTTATTCTGATTAAAGTAAACAAAGTAGAAAACTTTAATTTTTCCATTTTCTCTAACTTTTATTGTTGTGCTTACCATTTTCTACACTCAAATCCTTCAAATGTGATTAGTATTACTAAGATAATAAAGCCACTAGCTGTGCCTTCTTAAGTTGAAAAAAATTGTAAACAGTGAGAAATCAATACTAACATTTACAATTATTTCACTCAACCTTATAACTTAAAAATATATGCTATGATTTACCAAACAAAAACATCTGAGATGTAAAGAAATTGCATAGAGTAAAAATCATGACAATTTAGATGAGTTGAATTTTTTTTTCTGTAACAATAAGCTTGGCATTTCTTTAGAAAAAAGAAAAGTCTCAAGAAAAAAGTTTGATTGTCATCTAAATTGTCAGTTTTTTACTTGGTGCAATTATTTACATTTTGTTTAACCAAAAAACAATTGATATCCAATGTTGTATTATTTCATCAGATTGAAGACAATGTTCAGTTGGTGAAAAAATAAAAATAAGTATCTGAAATTTTAATCTTTATAAATCAAATTTTGTTTTAATTACAATAAATTTTTTATACTGTATTTGTTTATTTAAGATAGTTGAATTATTTTATTGTTTCAGATATGAAAAGAATAATTATGGAAGACATAGGAAAAGTGAAAACATTCAAGCAATTGTATGATTTCTATTTAATCTAAAGTAATGTTAAATCCTATCTATATGATAGAACTATATTTGTAATTTATGTTTTAGATGGAAAGGAGAGTAGTATATGTTGGACGTTTGCCAGATGATATTACTAGAAATCGACTTTATGATTATTTTGAAAAGTTTGGCAATATTTTAGATATTAATATTATTCGTAAAAATGACAAGTAAGTAATGAATTTTTTATAAAACAGTGTAAATAGATTTATTTGAGTAAAAAATATTATACAATGTCCTTCATTAATTATTTTGTATAGTTTTTAGTAATAGTTATGGTTATAGTTATATTAGTAACAGATTTTTCTAAAATACCGTATATTTCCGCAGATAAGACAACAGTTGAATCATAAAAAAAGGCCCCCAAAATCAGGGGTTGTCTTATAGGACAGATACAAAAAAAGTTAGATTGAAATTTATATAAATTAAAATCATTATAAAAAAACAGAAAAACTAATTATTTACTAGTAGAGAGTAGAGTATGTCAACAACATAGAATAGCTCATACGATGTTTTTGTGGATAGTCGAGGTTATTACCCGAATTCCCGAATCAGTGCGAACATTTGCACCAATAGTAAGGCAGTGCTGCCAGATGCAGGAAAATAAAATTTGTTCATTTGAAAAATTACAAATAGGACATAATTCCATATACGCTATACAGTATTATGATTGCTGACCTAAACTAAATTCATAGGCTGTTGATAGTTTGGTGGTCGTCTTATAGAACAGATATATGCTAAAACTATAAAACTTTGATGAAAATTTATACCTCATTTTATCTGAAGGTCATCTTATCTGTGGAAATATACAGTTGATTTATTTAATTATTCTATAGTTTCTAATACATAATAGGCAGTGTAATAAATAGTTTTTTTTAAATTTAATTATTATCTCTTTATTGAACTTTTGTCCTACATTGCACCTTCTCTGTCATGCCTTCTTGCATGTACTCCATTAATATAAACCATTACAACTCCCCTTTTGTCAAAACAAACAAAATCATTTAAGTAGCTAGGTCTCTCTCTAACTATTTGACATTTTAGCTCTTCTGTTAACATAAAGTTCATTAGGATTGTGTTACCTTTACAGATTTTGATTGATCTTCCCTATTTCACATTTCCCTGTTTGCTATTGAATCAACAGAAACTAGATCATCATCATCACCACCACCACCACTATTCTCCCCCTTCTAAAGAATCAGGTTCTTTTAACTTGTTAGCAATAGCTTGAGAGATATGCAATATTTCTTTCACACGTAAATACCTTTCTCATCACTTAAAACTATACGTTATCCTATCTTTTCAATCACTTTAAAAGGTTTTGGTGAAAAGCTGGTTCAAAAATGTTAGTTTTGTTTTCTTAATTAGAAAATTATATTACTACTATCATCTGCTAGGTGAAATAAAATTCTGCTTTTTAGTTCATTTTGTATCTCAAAGATTCATGTTCATTTATAATTTTCCCNTAGATCATCATCATCACCACCACCACCACTATTCTCCCCCTTCTAAAGAATCAGGTTCTTTTAACTTGTTAGCAATAGCTTGAGAGACATGCAATATTTCTTTCACACGTAAATACCTTTCTCATCACTTAAAACTATACGTGATCCTATCTTTTCAATCACTTTAAAAGGTTTTGGTGAAAAGCTGGTTCAAAAATGTTAGTTTTGTTTTCTTAATTAGAAAAGAGTCACTTATTCATTCATCTAAACATTAGATCAGAGATCCACAAACTTTTTTGATTGTCAACTCCCTTCAAGGATTCTGAACTTTTTCATTAAACCCTTCTATTCTATTTTGCTAATGTAATTAATAATAATAAAATAAATAAATCTGGTGAACTAATTAATCCACACACCGTTTTCATGAAAAAGATCTACTCATATGTTAGTGTGTAAATTTACATCATCCTGAACTGTCATACATAAACTATTGAACTAATAATTTTTAATGAACCACTTTCACTCGATCACTGTAGGGACCCCTGCATTAGATGATCTTAGATGGCAATTTTTGTTAGGCTGAGACTCCACTAGTGTAAAAATGGGAGTAAAACCCCTTGCTGTAAAAGCTTTTAATCACGTGACCATGATATTTTAAGCCTGAGCAGGTCATAAAACCAGTGTTAAAGCGAGTTTAGCAGTGTTCAACTTTTGATGTGAATATGGCTATAAAACAGTACCATCCACCAATCAGAAAAGTCAGTGAAATCTAGGTCATTGTGACACGGTGCAAAAATGGTGGAAAGCAAGCTTTTGTATATGTTCTCTTGTGGCTGTACTAGAATAGATCTGGAAAGATTTATCGAAAACATCCGTAAGTATTCATGTATCTATGACAAGGTATACTGATTATAATAATGAATGCCTAAAACATGCAATATGGACAGCCAAAGGAAAATCCTTCAATTTAGGACTATAATAAAATAGCATTATATACTTCTATAAAATAATATTATATAATCCTTCAATAGAGGAGTATGTAATAAGAAAGCTAAGCTTATAAGTGCTGTATATTATCTTAATAATACGATAATAAAAGTTATCCAATTACTTAAGATTATATTAATTAAAACTAGATTCCTATTACTACTTAAAACTATTGGATAGAGAAGGCTTATTAGAAGATTTAGAAAATGAAAGTAAGGGATAGGAAAGAGGGCACCCAAAACTTGATGTATGATGCTTGTGTGGGCTCATGGATGAAGGTTCTTGTTGGGTTGGGGACTGCTTAGCTCCCTTTTTGTCGCTCTTTAAGATATTAGTCCAAAGGGTCGATATGTCCTGTTCCTCTTAATTAATTTCCTTTTCTTTCTCCATTCCAAAGTTCTTGTCTCGACCATACGATGCTAAATGTACTGGGGGAGACTTTTTCTCGCTTTCTATCCTTCGGGTTCCCTCCTCCGAGTGACCGCCGTTCGCCCCCTTCCCTCAGAGCTGTGTTCCTTTCGTTGCTTCTCGGGTTAGTCCACCCGCATACCAAAGCCAAGGGAAAAACGAGAACATTCCAGGAAGGGTAAACAAATAGGACAGACAGAGGTGAAGCGGAAAATATACAAGATAAAATAACACAATTATATACAAAATATACAATTTAAATATGGCGTGTAGCCACAATAACTTCAATATGAAGGAAAATTAAGATTTAACATCTATTTTATACTTTTTTTAACTGAGTGTCAGTACATTTTCCTCAAGAACTTTAAACACTTTTTTGAGTCTTTTATTATGTTCAGGATTCCTACCTGCCTGAAAAGTTAGGAAAATTGTCAAAATGTCAGGAAATTTGCCTCCTTGGCTGCCTTGTTGATCTTCTGCTGACAATATGGTTGAGTAAGTGTAGCCATCTGCAGGCAGCAAGAAGTAGTGTAGTGCAGTTGAAATTTATGAAAAGGGATGCAGAATATTTTCAGGACCCAAAAGTTTACCCAAACATACATAGAATTTCCTAAAAATTTACAAAGTACAAAAAAATGATAAATAAATTTTAATTTAAATACAGTCAACCCCCTATAACACGGTAACGTTCCACTTTATAAGAATTTCACGTTGTAGGAATCCTTAAATACATGAGCCAATCACAGCCCAGCATGTGTGCAGTTTACAGACTATGGCTGTTTGAAAAGGTTTTCTTCCATAAAATTAATCGATTCTAGACTAATTTGACTCAACATTTCCAAAACACTTATAATTTTTTTGGGAATAATCTGTATAAACTATGTTATAACAAAAAATTGTAGGATTACTTACTGAGTGTGCACCATTTGACGTCGTCATTGCTTAAGCTTTTTTTGTCGCGGAGCAGCGCACCAAACGGCGGGCGCGATTTCTGATAAGTTATTTTTCTGCGAAAAATTCGTTGAACTTTGGAGACATCATTAATAGAAATAATTTTTATGGCCATTGAATAAGAAATGTTTTTTTCACAAGAAATGTATAAAATTACAGTGCTGTATTAGACTTACAGTACCTACTTTATATACTGTACAGACGATAGTAAACTCAACTTACCTGCCTAAACTCTCCATAGGGTGTAAGTAGTTCGGCTGCTCGTATATTATTGGTCCAGATTCGACCAGTCCTGTTGCGACACAAGTCGGCAATGATATTTTACCGCATTTTACAAGTCTCTTTTAGCATCTTTATACGAATACAGTCGTAATTTTTTCACTGCGATATACAAATCTGCATTATATGAACCCACATTATAGGGAGGTTGACTGTAGTTTATCATTTTTCATTTTAATAATTTTTGTTGCATAACAAAACAATTTGTTTTTTCCACTTTACTAGTATTTTATAAAGTTCAATAAATTTATTAAGGGATAAATTTAATAAATATATACTTTCATACATGGATTATGCATTATTTATTAATGAATAATAAATAAATAAATGGCTTTTTTCTTTCTTTTTCAAAGCCATGTAGATTTATGGTTGTAGATTAATAACGGAATAAACTACTTTAATTTAATAAAACATTTTATTTTTAGTTTTAATAATTCAGCAATTATTAAAAAAAAATATAACATTTAGAAATAGAATTAAATAGAAAAAGTAACAAATTAAAAAGAATCAATAGTGTATGTACTGTACTTAGCATGTCAAATGCTGTTTTATTTTGTCAGTATGTCATACTGTAAGTATAAGGGATGTTAAAGTCAGGGAATTTGTATGAAGTTGGTCAGGGAAAAAGTCATAAAATTTAAAACAAAAATTTCACTAGGAACCCTATATATTCAATTGAATTTTTTCCATACACTATTATATTATATTGTTATGCACATTTTTACATCCAACTAGAAAATTAAACAAATATGTCTCAGTTGCAAATGCTGTCAATTTCCTTGATTCTGGATGTAACTGAATCTGATGAAATACTAAATTAAGATCTAATTTCAAAAATATTTTTGACTCTCCTAATTCATTTAAAATGTTTTCAATTAAAGGAATTTGAAATTTGTCTTTTCAAAACCTTATTAATATGGTAGAATATTTACAGCGGAGTACTGTAACAAAAACGCATATCTATAAAACCTTTTACTGGTGCGCGTTTCATCACACTCTACAATAAAGTTACAAATGTTTTACAGTACTTTATTGTAAAACGTTTTACAATAAAGTTACAAAGCCATTTCTTAACAACTTTGAACCAAATCGCATTCTGTTAGGGGATTGTTACCTGAAGAAGAACCGTAATGGTTCAAAAATGTTTGTAACTTTATTGTAGTGTGTGATGAAATACGCACCAGTAAAAGGTTTTATAGATACGTGCCTTATTAATATGTCTAGTACTGACACATAACTGTACAATCACTTTTATTAATTACAATCAATGGAGACAATCAAGTGTAGCTTTTTCAATTCATTCTAGAATGCCTAAATCTAAGAGTCCTTTAGTTTTTTCTCAACTTTACTTTGAACATTAAACTGCAAATGAAGATCAGTTTTGCTTCAGGTAGAGCATTTGGATGTTTAAGTTTCTGTAAACCTAAAAACAGATTTGGATGCATCTGTTTAATCTTATCTAACATCAGCTTAGAATCTGATTTTAAAACTAGTTTTCTTACTGTAATAAATACATTATTTCTCATCAAACTGTATTAATCCTAACTGTTCACTAATTTTTTTTATCTAATAAGAAAGGATAATCACCTTTTAACAATCAGGAATTTTGCTTTCACGCTGTTGTTTTTTCTTTTCTCACTTAAATTTGTTGTTATCTTTTGTAAAAGCTTAAATGGCTCATCTTCCATGTATGTTGTGATGATTGAGTGTTGATACAATGCTGATGAAAGCAATATAGGGTATGAGTGTAATACCGAAACACAAAGTGTACAGATACAATTAATATATTTTATTTACACAGAACAAAACAAGTGTCACAGGATCTTTTGTCAGTGAAATTTTCCCACATCAGGAATGCACGTAATTAGAGATTAAAAAAAAAAAGGAAAACATTTTGCACATAACGGAAGTAACCCAAAATTAATATTACCTTAAAACTATTTTACAATCTAAATAAGAGGAAAGTAGGATAAGAAATTAAAAAGATAGAGATAGAAAGATTAATAGCAAAAGTTTTGTTGGGGGATACTTTTCCTTGCTTGCGAGATAGGGTCCACAATGAATTCTTCTAGCTTTCTGCTTTATGATTTTCTGTCTTTTGCCACATAGTTCCATTCTTATCCAACTTTGTGATGATCAAAAGTCTCTTGTTGTTCAGAAAGGAGCACTAATAAAATTTATATCCTGTTGAGCTACATTGTACTCACCAAAGCTTAACCTTCTTCGCTCTTCCTTTTTGTTTTTTTTCTGACTTTCAGGACCTCCATGCATCCTCTCAGAAATCGAGCTTAAGAATCTCCAGTTACTCTTCCCCTTTGGACCCATCATTGTCCTCTCTAATGTTCTCGATGTTTCTTAGAACATAACCCCCACATTGACAAAAGAAAGATTAGAAAGGGAAGACAAGAACAAAGGAAAGACGTGGAGAATTAAAATAATCAAAAAACGTAAATTTTAAATAATTAAAAAGCTGAGCAGCCACAATGTAAATGCTTTAGCCCCATATGCCTAATTTTGAGTTATACGAGTAACAATACAGATGTGTAGGAATGTCATGTGTCATGAATTTGTTCAGTGAATGAGTTTACTACATGATGTTCTGAACACATTCATGTTATTACTTACACAACTAGAGACTAGACACCACCACTCACTACATATTTCACCTTCTTTGTCATGCTCTGTTCTTGCATGTATTCTATTAACATAAACCATTACAAGGTACTTAATACTACATGAAGCAGCTTTTTATGGTGAAGAAACATTAGATGATTTTTGCCATTGAACATTATGAAAATAAAAAAGTTGTCTAAATAAAATGGAATTAATGATTGTCTAGTTAGCATAGTAATTCTCAAGATGGGGAAAGATGAATCACTATGGATGCCTTTTTGTGTAAACAGTGAGGCGATTAAGAAAAGATTTGATTTTGTTGGTAACAGAAATGTCAAATTCTGCAGTAATGCTATATTAATTGGATTAATGTTTACCTAGGTAGTCCAAGATGGCGGCGGTCGCCAGTTCGGTCGGCGCTTCCGGTCGCCGCCATGTTGTTTGGCGGCGGCTCTGCCCCCCAAACAAGATGGCGACCGGAAGCGCGGGAATTACGAAAAAATATTTTTTTTTTACTCACTTTCTTCGCTGGATTTTCTTTTGCGACGAACGGTCGTGCTGTTCTCGGCTCTTTTGGTTTCCTTTCCTTTCGTTTTCTCCTTTTTCTTCCGGCTTTCTGGAGCGGCGGGCACGGTCGCTGGTTCCTTCCACGCGGGGATCTTACCCGATCCTGGATATATAAAACTTAAATGTTTCGCGAACAGTTGGAAGCGTTCTCCGGGCTTCATCGCATGCCATTTGAACAATTTCTTGTACATGAACATGTACAGATAGGAATCCGACAGCTCTTAGGTGTAATGTTTGGGCAGATGTCTCCTGTCTTTTAATGCGCCCCACAGCCTTTCTACCTTCTGAGTGTGTACGCCACTGTCGGGGTTCGCAAACTATTTCTACGCCTTCTACCTCGTTTATGTGATAGTAACCCCTCCACTCGTCGGTCAGCACCGTACTTCCGAAATTAACGAATTTCGAAATTATCCAATTCAATGTCTCTTCGCTCCTGTCGTTAACTTTACAGACAAAGCACGTGTTATCCTCGCGACACACTCCGCCGACTACCCACCTCGTGCCCTTCAATTTGCGACCCCTGTCGTATTTTCGTCGGGATATTACGGTCTCGTCGATCTCTACCGTTTTGTTCGGCCCTCCTATTTTAAACGACGATACGTTATTCACGGCTATCATCATAACCAAACGTATATAGTTCGCCCAGTCGACAGACGTACGATTACTAATACTACAGGCCAGGGCCGCATTCGTCAGCGTGCATTCTAAGCACAGCAAGTGCCATACGAAGGAAAGTATCTTGCCCCAGGAAACGTGGCCGCACTTACTCTTAAAAGTGCCGACGAAGGCGGAACCATTTCTTTTACAATAGACGCATCTCGTCGCCACGGATTTCCTATCGGCACGGTACACTACTTACACGGACGGGAACAATTAGCACATACCTCTTCGACCTGCTGTAAACCAAGTTTTACGGCCAGTTTCACATCCGACGGAATTCTCTCGTCCAGCCCCAAATCGTCATATTCGTTGGCGAATAACCCGAAGAACACTTGCGAATCGCACTTACTCCAAAATTCCTCGGGAAAGGCTACTTCAGAAGTCGCCGTCATTATTATTTCCGGCAATATTCGAAACACGTCGCACGAGAAGAAAAAAAAAACATAAAATCGCAAAGGCACAAGAAAAACACACGTCCGGCAAACGCTGCGACAGCGAGAAAAAGCAAAAATTTGCATATATCTACGTTCGCGAGCGGCAACGACGTCATAATTCATTTGCATAAAAACATTCCGTACCGCGAACAACGTCCTCTACGATCGTCATCGCAACAAATTCCGGAAGCGCCGCCATCTTGGACTACCTAGGTAAACATTAACCAATTTATATTTATTCAAAATATTGCTCTTCTTGAAAAATAAAAACTTTTTCGAGAATGCCTTGTTGAATACACATTTCAAGTTATAATTTACCAGTGGGAAGATTTGTTGCTCAATAAAATTAATATTGAAATATTGTTAATTGCTTTTGGAATTATTAAAATATTTATATAATTTAACATTAAATGTATGACTTTTGAATTAAAAAAATGTTTTTATTTTAGTTCCATCATTTATTCATTTTTAACTTTTGAATATACCTGTGATGCTGTAAAAGCTATAGAAGGTAAGTAAAATTTTTATCATTACTTTAAAAAGCTAAGTAAAATCACATAAAAGTATTTTATTTATTTAAAAAAATATTTCAAAATAGAATTCCTTTCTTGGGACAAAAGCTGTTTTTTTTTATTCTAATTAATGTTCCTGTTTATATGAATATATAAACAAATATGCTTAGACATTTAGATATAATTTTCTTTCAAGTTTTACTTTTTGGTTTATATGAAAAAATATTATTTGATAGCAGTTAAATAAGACAATATGTAATTTATTATTAAAACTTAATATAATAAGATTCTGGAATAATATAGTGAAATATAAAACTTAATGTATGAAATTTTATGGATGAATTTTATTTATTTATTTATATGTAAGTGGAAAAGTCCAAAGACAATTGATTTCTGCCTCCTCTCCAATAACAAACTCCAATAAAAAAATAAACAATAATTCATAACAAATAAACTGGTAATAACACAAGTGTGAGAATACAGACAAGGGGTCAAGTCCTCTAATCGTTGGATCTGGAGGATCCGCTCACTTTGTCACCGGATGGCTTAATCTAACAGAATTCGAGTGGTAAAATTCTTTGTGAGGGTTGTGCAAAGTCGGTAATATCAATAAACTAAGAAGGACATTCATAATATCAAAATCAACAATTTAATAAAGTAAAATAAAATAACATACAGAAATGGAGATATAATAATCCTAAGTTCCCTAGGTTACAAGAGAGTTTACAATAAATTCCTATTACCTCGTTGTTCATTCTGGAAGAGCTGGTTTGCTGTAGTGAAGTTAGGCTGGACTTTACTGTTGGATGGCTAGCGTGATGAGAGTAGCAGGAGGGTCAACTTCTTTGTAGGAGGGTAGAATCTGGAGGAGTGACTGGAGATCTATGTAGCACAACCTGCTATGTCATATGGCATATTCTATCTTGGAGGAACTGCCTCAAGTCTATAAAAATTTGCCTTTTTATCTATGCTTTCCACCAATCATTATTCGGGAAAATCATCATCTGATGGGAGATCAGTTAGGTCACTTGTCCAGATGGTTGGGAAAAATCAAGATAAGTTGTCTGTGAAAGGAAACTGAGCTTCCCTTTTTCACAAGAGTAGAGTTATTCAGCAGTTTTTTCAGAATGTGGTTTTGTTGCAATCTTTTTAATGTTTTATTATATTAAAATATATAAAATGTTAATACAAAAATAAAAGATAAAATCAGCTTAATGTCTTTGTATATAGAATAAGGTTTTATGAAAATTATATAAATTAGACTGGCTATATCCAGCTTGTCACACAAGGAAATAAAAATTAAACTACATATTATAAAAAATCAATTACATTTGTTTTATAAAGGGTAAAATCATTATACAAAAAGTGCTCAACTGGAGTCATATGAGTGGATGTACAATAAAAAAATGATCTGTGAGAAGATAAAATGGGGTAAAAAAACAACTACTACTACGTGTTCTAATAGTAGGTACTGTATTTGAAGTCTAGCAAGTAATTAAAAATCAGTCCATTAAAATATTTGTAGCAAAGTATGTGATCAAAATATTTTAGAGGATTGGTAAGATTAGATAAACCATGGCAAATTCTGGGTTATTGGTGTATAGAAGGTTACAAAATTATACAACAATGAATAAACCTTATTGAATTCTGAATGAACTTTGCAAAATAAATATGGAGCAGCAGTACCGGCCCGAGGCAAGATTTAGGATGGAGCGAGATCCTATTATGGCACCCCCTGGTTGCCCCTAATTTATACCCTTTAATTCTCTTTACCACTGAGGCGTCCCCGAATCCGACAGCTCTTAGGTGTAATGTTTGGGCAGATGTCTCCTGTCTTTTAATGCGCCCCACAGCCTTTCTACCTTCTGAGTGTGTACGCCACTGTCGGGGTTCGCAAACTATTNCGGCCCGAGGCAAGATTTAGGATGGAGCGAGATCCTATTATGGCGCCCCCTGGTTGCCCCTAATTTATACCCTTTAATTCTCTTTACCACTGAGGCGTCCCCTAAAACGTGGAGGCACCTGGAGCGGCTGCTCCGTTCGCCCTATGGTAGGGCCGGCTCTGTGGAGCAGTTGTTGACCAGACATGGAGACAGTAATCAACCATAGACTGAAAGTTCATAAAAAAAAAGCTCTTAAAACAGAATTTGAGGAACTATTTTTACAAAAACACCAGAGAATATTATTTGATAGCAGTTAAATAAGACAACATGTAATTTATTATTAAAACTTAATATAATAAGATTCTGGAATAATATAGTGAAATATGAAACTTAATGTATGAAATTTTATAGATGAACATTATTTATTTATTTATTTATATGCAAGTGGAAAAGTCCAAAGACAATTGATTTCTGCCTCCTCTCCAATAACAAACCCCAATAAAAAAATTGGGGTCTAATGACTGTCTAATGTAAAAAGATTTGATAACATGAAAAATATGATCATGTGAAATTGTTGTCAAAAATGATGCTGAGATCACAATAAGATTTAACATAAATTATTTCATTGAAATTGATATAAATCGAGGGACAGGATGGGTTGGAAATTAATGAATAACACTGTTTTGTTAATATTAATCTTTAAGTTATGGCTGGCAAAGGTAGAGCATATATATTTCTTTAATGTGTTAGCCATGGCACCTGTGCATCAACATATTTCTTTTAAGGGTTTTCAGAAGACCAGGCTTGGTTTAACCATCTTTGTTCCAGATCAATGGCCTTCCCTTGTCAGTTTCCTGATTAAAATATCTGCTATTACAACATGCAAACAAAGAATTTGATATTGGGACCAATATTATTCGGTAAATTTTCTAATCTTTTAAAAGGATAAGAAGTCATGACATCAGGATTTTTTTTAAAATTTTATAGTGTTTTAAGACACTTTATGCATGTTTTTCAGTATAAAATTTATATCACTGAGGAATAATATAAATTTATATAAAATTGGAAAATTATCATTATTTTCATTTCTTACCGAAAATAACATGTTGATAATGAACTAAGACAATAATTTACATCATACAAAGCAAATACCCTTTAATTGGTTAATTAATAGTCATCTAATCTATAATTAATATTAATAATTCGGACTTGTTTTAAAATTCACTTCATAACTAATCAAGAGGAGAGTTTTTACAAAAAATGTTTTTTAAAAATTTTTAAAATATATTTATTAGATATTAAATAAATGTAAAATTCCTTCAATAATTGTCAAAAAACAATGTTTTACTGTTTTTTCAAAATTCTTCATTATTAACGAAAATACATTTTTAATTTTTAGATGCATCACAAGATCCTATTTTATCAAACTTCGCTGTTGATTTTGGTGGCAGAAGGCAATTCTGCAGAGAAGTGTATAGAGATTTAGGTAAGGCAAATTTAGTAATAATAACAATAATAATAAGAGCTTGCACAAAAACACAGATTTATTAAACACCCAGATACCATACTAAAATATAGTCCTCATACAGTTTTAGAAAAAGACACACACAAAATATACTATGACAGAACCATAATCACAGATAAAACAATTCATCGTGATAGATCTGACATCAATCTCATTGACAAATGCAGTAAGATCACTTATATAATAGACATCTCTGTTCCAAACACTCATAACATAAAAAATGCTCACACTGAAAAAAATCAAGTACACTCCACTTGCACAATAAATACTTATTTCTTAATAAATAAGTATTTATTGTGTCTGTTGTCCTCTCTTCAACTGGTGTTATACCACACACTACACAAAAATCTAGAAACATTGAAACTTAATAAAAACATATACATGGCACTACAGAAAGCTGCAATATGTTCACATGTCACACTGTTAGGAAGTTTCCAGATGTTAACACACATCAATTACAGAATCTTAATGAAACACTTGTTTGGGTGGGTAGCTATCGGGACATTCCAATTTTCAACGTGAGTGTTGAGTGTTGAAGTCAACAATTTGACGTCATCAACATGTTCCAACTCGAGTACGAAGTGCTTAGTTCCTATAATTCCATTCTCAGCAAAATGGATTCCATTCAAATGTCTTACCAATTACCCACAATTCATTGGAAAGTAGCAGTCAACATATCTGTTGAGTGCTGAGTGTGTTGAGTCAGCGCTGACAACAGCACTACCTCAACGTTGAAAAAAGGAACAAATTTTAACGAATGTTGAGATCAGCGTCGAGTCAGCATTGAAAATTGGAATGTCTCGTATGCTTTGACTAGTCCAGCATAGCACTTGGAACCCGTATCAGCTGAGCATGACATTTGTAAAATAATAATAATAATAATAGTAATTATTTTAAAATTATACATTTATAATTTCACTTGAAAAATGATGTGTTATGAAATATTTACTGTAGTTTTGTGCTGATAATCTTACTTAATCTTGAAATTGATTTAGAAGTTTTAAAGATTAAAAAAATACTTAAAAACCTATTTTAGTTAAATAAATGTTACTTTTTTAAATAATGACATCCATATTAATTTAATACTAACAAAGGAAAGAAACTGCAATTGATTATTGAAATGTTGCCAATTTTGGCCATATCATTTATGATGTCATTTCAGGATGCAATTTGAAGTCATATGAGGGAATTTCCATTCTCTACCTTTCATATCCCCACCTCTCCAGAAATGGAAGTATTCCAACCAGGGATGGCTTTTTCCTTCCCTCTCTTATCAAACTCATGGCATCAAATTTTACAATTTTGTAAACTACAAGATTGATTTTATATAGACTAGAGAGTTGGTTTATAAGTGACTGTGTATTCATCATTTATGACTTCTAAATTGTGTGAATCTTTCCAACAGACACTGCACAGAGTATATATCCAGGGTGGCCAAGCTCCTTGATAATCCGAGCCATTTTTCAAAATTTGAAATTTTTCGCGAGCCGCAATTAAATACGTATTAAAAAGGTATGCAAAAAATTCCAGATTACAAATTATATCCGTAGCAAGAGTGATACAAATTGTTTCCTCCAGAGCACAATGTCAACTGTCCATTGCAATGATAGTTTACAAATTCAAAATCGGTCTGGAGTCGGTCGATAACGGACGATTACGCCACTGTTTATGTTCGTTCACGCAGTTTTCGATGAGTCATATCATTCTTAACTTGGACGGAAATGAAATTTGTTACAACGTTGCACTTAGTCTTTCATATTTGTTGTTAGTAATTTAAAAGACATTTTGAAACACATACGGAACGATAATAATTTTTTAAAATATAATAACACAAAAATGAAAAGGGAACTTGGGTACATTTATCGGGAGCCACAAATAATCCTTCAAAGAGCCGCATGTGGCTTGCGAGCTGCAGGTTGGCCACCCCTGGTATATATGATCAGCAGCCATTCATTTTGCTTTTCAATAGTGTTCTTTTCTTTCACTTTGTTCACTTACCTATTGCTGTTATTACTGTGTATGATAAACATACTTAGATGATCTCTTCTTGAACTACAAACCCAATGCAGAGTTGTGTGCTTTTGGTGTTTTATGCATGCTTCGAAATAATTCAAAAAATTCTTACAAACATTCAGTTCTTTTCTCATTGCAGTATTATAACTACTGATCTTTGTGTCATCTGCTCATAATAGCTTTTTTCCACTTTTTGGTCATTAATGGTTCAACTGCATTGGGTATGTCTACTACTTACTTGCCAATATGCAAACACATACTAACAAACAGCATACAAAAGAGTGAACAAGTGCTGGATTAGTAAATCTGCATACATTCTCACTTGATAGTAGTAAGGTGTCTAGTGTTGTTTGTAGTGGTGGTATAATTCTGCTAGGCATAGTAATATTTAGCCCATTTATCAGAGTAATAGCAATTGCACAAAATTAATCCAAATGTAATGATTTCTTGCCAAAAATAATTCCCACTATTGCCTGTCTGTCCTTCCTTAATCTCAAGAATAGAGTTAGATAGATGAAAGTCAAGACCAGATATGGAAAGCTTAAGACACCAATAGTCATGTTATTTCAATTAAAAATTTTCTCCTTCAATGAGCTAAATACATAACTGGCATCATTCTGCTACTGCTAACAGGAAAAGCATGATGTACAGAGGCAAAATACTACTACTACTACTCCATGCAGACAAGTGCTGTCACAATAATGGAGCGTAATAGTGTATATATTTAGCACTATATCATTGTTGCAGTAATTAAGTGAATATAATTATATTCTTTAAAAAATTATATCCTTTAAGAATTAAGAAAATAATAAACTATATATAAGTTTTTTTATCAATAGATGGTGCTACATATAAAGCCAGCAAATTGAATGTAGACAGGAATTATTGATTGGATTTCTACATATCAATTATTTTGGGGTGAGATGTTCAGCATTATCTAAGAAGTATGTGATTGCAATTGGTTGAATGGCCTAGGTGTACATAGTGAACAAGAAACATCCTCATGTGTGTATATGAATGTATATATGTATATAAGGTTTTTAATTTCTTCAAAAAGGAATGATTCGACAAATGAAATAAATCATGATGTGTTGCTCCGTAAACAAAGTTTTTTTATTTTATTACTTTTAAAGTTACATTACGGAAATAACACTTTTGAAATACAATCTACACTCTCACCTGTAAACAAAGAAACGACATTTAAAGTTTATTCTTCACTATATCAATTCCTTTTTTATTATTTATCTTTTCTCGCTTCACCATAATGTATCAATTATGCCGTATCGTTTTTCTTACGTCTCATGTCGATGACAGCGCGACGCGCGGATAAAGTTTTCATATATATATATATTAGGGTTTCTCAAACGGGATCCCGGTTGTTTTTTTAACCCGGGAAATATCCCGGAAAATTTTTCTTATCCCGGGAAATCCCACAAATTTCTGAAAAATTCACTTTTTTTCTTATTTTGTGTTAAGGTTGAGGAATTTTGCAAATAGAAAGCATAATTATCTCATTCACTGTCAGAATACATTTGTATTTATTAATTTTAAACCTACCTATTAGTTTTTTTAAATTTTTGCTCGTTATAGCATGTCACAAATGGTCAATAATCAATATATAGCTTATTTGTGGCAGGACTATAAAAATTCTTTACTTGTCGGAACCTGTAATATCTGGAATAATTGTGCTTACGCTGTCTTGAGTTTTAACCATGCCCAGTAGCTTCAATAAATGCCTGACGCCAGATTGTGCAAATTGGGCAAGGATACAAACGAGTACAAAGTCTGCAAGTATGAAGTTTTTCTTCATAAACCTGATTATTAAAGCCAAATGAATTGCCGAATTATCGAGCTCTAAGCTTGATGCCGCTATTAAAGCAGCCAAGGTAGACAAATCAAGAATACTAGAGAGCGAAAGAAGTACTACAATCTCGAAAACGAACTCGAAATCTTCCAGGCTACAGGTGAAAAAACACATAATATCTGTCTTCTCTTAAATGCATTAAACACTATTCCAATCACATCAATTGAATCGGAAAGGGCATTCTCGGTGGCAAGACTTTTCATTACTAAAATAAGAATTAGAGTGAGTTATCGGAGTATTGACCATCTTTGCTTTTTAAAATCTTATAAAAGTTTGCAATATTTTGTATTATATTTTATTTAAAAAACGAAAATTACCTTCTAAATTAGAAGTTCATTTTTTTTTTAATTTTTAACTCAAATCAAAACATTTTTTTTTGTTGTTGTATGCAGTTTCCAGCAAACTTTAATTTTTTTCTTTGTGAAAATTTCTACGTTATTTAAAGGTAATTGTTATTATAGGCCTATAGACCTTACACAGCATTATTAATATGATTTGAGGTTACAGAACTTTAAAATCACTTTAAAAAATGGAAAATAATTATATCATTTGATTTCAAGATATTTTGTATACCTTAAAAATAATTAATTCTATCCCGGGATTCAGTTCACTTTTATCCCGGGATAAGCAAAAGACCGGGAAACGAGAAACCCTTATATAGTAGTTCAACCAGGTCTATAATGAGTCAGCCAAATGGTAAGGGATGGGATCTGAGATTTCTGGAATTGACCATTCCCTGAAAATCTTGTGTTTTTGAACCTGTCAAGATTTATTCCCAGATTCTGAGTGATAGATGGATGGCTGAGGAGTTAAGACACCATCCTTCTAGATATTTTGAAATTGATTCAATACAATAAATGACACAGTGTATCAAGTGATCCAAGAAATGAAATGAATGTTACAACTTGGTCTTAAAGTGTAGTCTTACAACCTGGCTCTAAGTTGCAAAAGTGAACTTTCATGAAACCAATGTTTTTTTTTTGTTGTCAGTAGTCATATGTAAAAACTTGCTTCATAATAAAATCACATTTTTTAAAATTTCAAATCTATTTGTGATTATGTGAGTTAGCCAATGATGGTGGAGATCAGGGTCTGAAAATACCACTTCTCTATGTGACACCAATGCGAGTTTGCTGACTTTTGGGGGAAATGGTTAATCCCACGTCATTTGTGGTGGCAATGGAGGAGACAGTAATGACAAGAGTCTAACATAAAACGGTTTATTGTAATTCAAGAGAACTTTCACTATACAAAAAGTTTGTATCTGAGGTTTTGTTTTAGATGTGATTATCAGTAGATAAGAGTTCTTTGGTGGTTGGAAGTAGACGGCAGATGATGGGCCCTGGGGCAACAATGTTGGGTGTTTGTCTGGTGATGTGGAAGATTTAAGTTGGCAGTTGATTGGAGACTTGGTCGTTATCTGTATGAGTGATGGACAGTTGTTTTGGGCAATGCAGAGCTGTTCACAAAATAATTGGTGAAAAAACTGTTTTACACATTAACACACTGTTTCTTGGTTATTCAGAATGTTAACTAACCAAGTACAATGTGTCCTTGATTGTCGAAGATTACATCAATCTCTATTTTTTCCCCCTCCATTCCGATTGGTTGTTCTCCCTCATTCATGCTTTCTAAGTGGCTGATTCCTCATTACTAAGCATACAGGATTGTAAAGTACTATATTATTTTTCCGCCCTCTACAACGATTATCGACACGACTGTGTGCCGGAAATAGCCGTTACCTAACAGGTACTTTACGCGGATTCGCGTTATCGTGCCAGGCCTGGACTTTAAGCTTGCACCGAATTAAATAATGACAAAGTTAGTCAAAAAACAATCCAATATTTAATAAAAGTTCTAGTAATAAACAATATTTAGTAAAAATCAAACAACAATTTATTCAAAGTAAATCAATAAGAATCAACCCGACAAAACTCAAATCAATCTATTTTCTAACTTAATTCTATTCCCCTTTGGAATTCGACAAAATTCAAAGACTTAACTTAATAATTCTCATGAATTAAAGGTCCTAACCGTCACCTCAATATACTAGGAACCTTTTTCCTCAACTCTCAAGACTCTCTAATCGTCGATCCACAAATCGAATAACTTCAAAATCGCCTTGGAACTATTTGATTCTATCGTACACATCTCTCGTTCACAGCTACGAAGCTCATCTCGTCCGTCTTCACTCGAGGTTCGGTCTTTATACTGTGAGGTGACGTCACAATTCTGAGTGCGATAACTCCCCTCATTTACATACTTATCGCTAACAATAAAATTTTTACTAATTGTCTGGCAGCCGATTTTCCGACAATACTCACTAACCTTTTACAGTATTCTTTTTGACAATTTTCGGGATGTTTTATTCTTTTAAGGTTTAGCGAGTTCCTAATTTGTGCTTGTGGGGTCTCCCCGTTTTCTCGGTGCGGACTTACTTTTTTCCACTCGGGAGCGCAAGTGTGCGCGAGTTTTTTCTACGGCGCTTTTCTTTCGTCGGTGAGTTGGTTTCTCTTCTATTTTTAAGTTTCTAAGGTGAATGGTGAGGAAACCTTCGTCCTAACAGAACATAAGGCCCAAACAAAATAGAATAATAAGCAAAATAAAAAGTAACTAAAAATAACGCTCGGACTTGGTTCCTTACAGGATTCCTACCTGGAAATGTGCTTGAAGAATACCATAATTGTAGACATGTTATCTCATATTATGTGTTAAATTGGGAAAAGTATTAATTGTTTCATTTTTTTATAACCTATAAATTTCCACTGTCGTCCGTCTTTAGAAAAGAGTTAGGCAGATGAAATCAGAGACAAGATATGGAAACCTTAAGGGCAGGAGGCCCGATTAACTATATAACAACTTCCGAATGTCACTTTACGTCAATTCAAAACTTTTCCGCCGAAAGGTGTTAGACAGACGACTCTATTGTTAAAGGAAACGTATGATGTACTGTACAGGGGCAAGCCACTACTAATTTAAGGTGAAGAGCATATATTTTGAATTAAATTAATTAAAAATATGATTAAAAATTGCAGCCCGGCATTGTGACGATGTCACAATAAATAATTGCTCGTTTTGTAGCTAAAAATTATCATCATCATGATCCATCCTACTTACAGCAAAATTCATCCGTAGTTTCTTCATACGAAATATGAATTAATACAAAAATAATTACAGTTATAAGCAGCAGAAACTTCATGCTTGGAGTTAATTAAACCAATTTAATTAAAGTACTAAAAAATTTATCATTAAAAGGAAACGTGATAACAGGAGAAAGGTTTTATGAAAAGCGACCTTTACAAAATTATTCTTAATTTAAAATATCAGCGCTAGAAATATATACAGTGGTGCCTCAGTGCACGAACTACTCCCAACTCGAATAATTCGATATTCGAATGCACGTTAAAAAAAAATACAATGCTCGATAATTGACTGCATGCTCGGCACTCGACCGAAAAATACGACCTGCTTAAACAAATATTTTTATTTTAACTTTAATTCTGTTATCCGTAAAACTTTCCCGCGATAAAAATAAGTATCTAATTTAAAAATAAAATAAAAGCCTAGAGTTGAATATCTTCGTCAGACAAAATTATTCCTAAATTTAAAAGTCGTATTTTGCCATTCTGTACGGTTATTCCCAACGACATATGACTACCAGACCCCGAACCGGGCCGCCATCTTTGAAGCGAATTGAACGCGCTTCCGCCATGACACTTAAAAGGCATAAAGCTGCGCACCTGCTGGATATACATAATACAGATATGACCGTTTATTACATAAATATACAATTGTTATCACACGATGCTTTTGCTAAACTGTGGCTTTAACTCAAACTGTCTTAGTCCTAAAACACCAGTCCTAACAAATAGTGCTAACACAGAAAACCACAGCTGTGCCCTAGCGCCTACGTCCTAACGTGAAAATCTGTTTTTCTCTGGATTGTCGAAATACTGATACTTTTTTTGATATGTGGAGCAACGCTATTAAGGGAAAACTCTGTTAATTTTAGGGAAATTTCAGGTGTGTTCAGAGGGTTAACACGGTAGAAGGTTGACTACCTCTTCCTCGCAGCTATCACTTAGTGCACAATTCTGGTGAACTTCGCTGTATACGTTCTCATTTCTCCGCGTTTTTTAAATGATTTATGCATGCTAAACTTGTAAACTTTTTGTTAAATTCAAGTTAAAATGCTTTTATATATGCAATCCTGGAAAAAAGTTTGAAACCATCTGGTTTTCAAACTTCCCATTAAAATTAATTGATATCCTGTAAATATGTTGTTGTTTAAGTATTAAAATAACCATAAACAAATATGAAGTAAAAATTTATTTTCGTATTTCAAAAAAAAAAAAAATTCATATACAACAAATTATTCCTTGCAATTTGCCTGAAAAAGTTTGAGACCACGATTAAAAAAAAAGCCACAAAAACAAAACATAGTGGGAAAAACAATGTTTAATACTTGGTACAGGATTCTTCTCCTTCCCAATTCATCACCAAACG